AATACAGGGACATAAATAAATTCCTAAACTTAAAACATTTTTAAATGTTTCATGCAGTTCATTGGTGCAGTGACGTATACTTATTATTCATAAATATTCAATACTCATACGTACAGTTGCGGGCTACACAAATTCGATTATACATAGTTATGTCTCATTTTACACGACAGGTGTATTGATAAGCTTTTAAAATTGTTTATTACTGAAGTGTCCTATAAATATCTTTAAGTCAATGTGTGAAAGAAATCAAATAAACTTACACATACATGGTACGTATGTGACCACTTTTAGATCTGTTACAATGACTAGACAATGAGCACATCAAAAATGCCAGTTACACACTTATGAACACATACATACATACATACAATCCATCATCACATTCCTTGTTCTATCATTGATTTATCTGACTAAAAGTGTTTTAGACCATAGAATAATTAATACAAAAGAATGAAAAGTATAATAACAGTATACCAAACATATTTTTAAAATCAACAAAAGAGAGAGAGAGGCATTATTTTTGATTCTATAATTGTTTATTTTTCTAAATCAATTTTAATGCTTTTATGTATGTATGTATATATAATAAATGTTACCTCGTTGTCAATTTAAACTCTAATGCAATCAGTGTCGATTCCCATTACAGACAAGTTAATACCTACATATAAAAATTGTATAGAATCTTTAACTACTGCATCAGCACTTGTCCTTCTACTTACTTACAGAGAATTTGTTCACATAAAACACAACTACACACATGAGTTCGGATGCGATAAACAGTAGTAGGATGATACCAAATCAAAAAAATTGTTTATTATTTTCTGAAGAAATCTTATTTTGGATCTGATATGATAAAAATCAGCTAAAAATATCGAAAATTATTATTTAGTTTAATAGCAATAAATCATTTTCCAGACTCAATGAAAGAAAAATTATATTTTAGAAAATATATTGCACCCTAATGTGTGTATGAGTATCCGTGGTTTCTAAACAAACAAATGTTTCTTAGTTTATATATACAACATGTACATATGTATGTATGTATGTACGTTTGACCATCAGTATGTAGATATGTGTGTTCATATAATAATACGGGTGTGTAAAATAATGGACCGACCCATTAACACACACACGCAGACACTTACAACACTAGTGTTGTTGGAAAATTAATGGTTATAAATAAAAGCAGTTTTGATATCATGTGAATATAAAATAAACTTGAAACTATGTATTTATTTAGGACTATAGGGTAAAAGCTAGTGATTAGACAGAGAAGAGATTTTCAATGTACATTTATACATGTATGTTGGTATGTATGTGTATTTGTCACCTTAATTTATAAAAGACTTATCAAACATTTTAAATAATTACTACAATAGAAAAACTTTTTTATAAATTCAAAATGTATTTAGATAAAGTTTGAGTTTGAATTGTTTATTAAACACTTCTTATATTACATAGCAGAAATGGTATATTTCACGACATTGTATTAGAATGTGAAAGAAACTTCCTCTCCAAATTATGATGCTGATATACATATGTATGTGTGTGTAATTAGACTAAACAATGAGTGAATCCACTAGTATATTGCTAAATATTTGAAAAACATTTCAAAACTTTGTTTTCAAAATCATTTAACATTTGTTCACTTTTTTATCAAAGCTAGACTGTTATACAAAAATTTATAAAATATACTTTTGAAAATATCATGAATCCGTTTTATAGTCGATATAACTAAAGTATAAAAACAACTTATTTATAGAACTTATAAGAGTTTTGTTTCAGCTGAACATTATGAGACTCTTAAAATTATTGACTTTTTTACTTTTGCTTTTGTGGCACACAGACATATTGGCAGACATTCTTAAATTATTGTTTACAATTAACAGTACCCTTACATTGAATTATGACCGAAGAAAAAGTAATCACATGATATACAGACATACTTGTAAAAAACATATCAACTTTTTATGTTTTTGTTAATTTCTGAAAATATTTGTTTTTTTTTTTTCGTAGTTCAATCGAAATTATTCTTTATAGTAATTTTTGAGCTTATTAAAAATGTTTCTTTGTTGCGAAAATTCTAATGAATTATAAATTCGCAAAAACACTCGTTATGTTTGTTTTTTTTTTTAATTTTAATTCCTTAAAATATGGAATACAAAGTACAAAATTCAACAATGTAAATAAGTTTTTGTATGTTTTACATTTTCTAAAGTGTAACCATAATTAAAAGGAGCGTCAGTCACTATGCTTATGAATAATTAAAATGAACTTTCTGACTTTATGAAAAAGGGTGTAGGATTTTATTCTTTAAATTAATTTATTTAGAAGCGCGTACATATAATGTATGTGTACGTAGTCTGTATGTATAATATGTAAATAAATATTTACCCAATGTAAATATTTAATATGTCAGTATTAAACAGGATAACATGCTATGTTTGTTTTACCCATTCAATTTCATTTAACACTTAAATCTTTTCACACATTCAACTATCCATTCATCTTTTAATCGAGTTATTCAAAAGTGGACAAAGGTCGTAGCAACTGTAGCGGTGTAAATTTTCACTTGCGGCAATAATCAAGGCAGCCAAATGGCAAAAAGCCCAAATATTCACAAGACACTACATACATACATACATACACATGTATGTATATACTTAATATAGTTTAAACAAAACAGCTGCATATTAATTTTTAGGTTTTCCCCCTTTTTATGCATGTAAAGGATAAGTGAAAAGTGTTCTTTTGTATTCACTGTTTTATAACTCTTTGGGGAAATTATAAAACTTGTAGATTTATTAATATTTATGAAATTAAAACAATCTCATTCATACTATAGTGACTTTGTACATATTTGAGTATGTAGCCACTTGTATGACAAAATAAATTTGTTTAATTAAATTTAAAGGTAAAATTATTGTTAAAAATTGAACTCAAGTGTTTTCTCAGTTATATTTTAAATATTAATTTCAAAGAAAAAAATAAATAATAATTTCAAAGAAATATTTAATATAGTTAATTAGGTGCAAATGTATATGTTCACCAAATTATTTTCTTTTTTAATATTATACTATACATATGTATGTATGGAAGTATACTTACAATAAGAATGTTGCATGCAACAAATTTGTTCTAAATTAATGTTTAGCTGTAATAGTGCCAAATAGTAAAAACAAATGATTTGAAGTGAACGATTTTTTTGGGTCATTAACATACACATTTTTGCAATTATTGTTATTAAGTCATAATTATTATTATTATTATTTTCTCTGCAAAATACTAAATAAATATTTAATTCTTGACCTATTATAATCACATTTAGCTTCTACGCAGATGTTTTTTTTATTAAGATTTAAATTTTTGATTATTTAAAAAAACATATTCAAATCTATTAACTTAGAAGTTATTTTAAAAGATCGGAAAGATCATTTTATAAAATAATTATGGTCTTCACCTTAGCTTGTTAGTTTGAAAGAAGGATGTATGTTACATCAAATCCGAAAAAATACAACTAGGCCTCGAAAGGTCCCGTTATGCACTGCCTTAGTCTAACAGACTAGAAAACTAACCTACGGGAGGCCACACCGGTTTTCACCTTTATAGGTGTTTGTAACACAAAAATATTGGTTCTACATCCTTAAAATATACTAATAGCCTTGGAATAATTTTATAACCCGTTTAAGCTCTTTTTATTTATCCGTCTGTTACCTAAAATTCAGTATATATACAAATAAATGTTATGTGGTCCTAAATAGTTATACCAAATTCGTAAGGATTATTGACTCTATCGCTAAAGAAAAAGTCCATTTATCAAACTTTGTACAACTGCCTTTGGGCCGACTAGAAGATCTTCCATCGATATCACTTTGACGTAAATAAATCTCATTTCATAACAATTACTATATTAAACACTGTCAGAAAGGGAATAATATGAGATCTATTCCTTTTAGTGGTCCTTCCGGTTTAGGCCATCGTAATGCATAACTTCCTTCCTTTTATAGGATATTAAAGATACAACAGAGCCGATAGTATCTAACTAGTTTTAACAATCATTTGGTGATTCATTAAGCTAGTATTAAATTAACGTCAGAAAGGGAACAATATAGGATCTATCCCTTTTAGTGATCCTTCCAGTTTAGGCCATCATAATGCATAACTTCCTTCCTCTTGTAGGATATTAAAGATACAACAGAGCCAATAGTATCTAGCTAGTTTTAACAATCATTTGGTGATTCATTAAGCTAGTATTAAATTAACGTATTTAGTAGTAAAAACTGTCAAAAGTTGGCAGCTATAGCTGTGAGCACTTTACGCTCATATCAGCTGGTTTAATGTAAATACACATTATAATATACTGGTTTTGAATAATCTCTAGTCAAATTCGAAAAATGTAATAAATGCCTTTTTTATGAAAATAAGGTATTTACAGAGATTTTACTGTAGATAAAATATTTGGAGCGGAGTTTCCTGTAGACACGACACGTGAGGTGGTTGTTTTTGTTGTTAAACTATACTAAAACGAAATTAAAACATAAGGCAATCCAAATTCAAACTTGTACAACTCGTTTATGTATAGAATGAAATACATAATCATAAAAACATGCTATATATTGTACATACATAGTATATATGTACATATGTATGTAAGAACACACATAGACACAAATGTATGTATAGGTCTCTTATATAGATGCACGAGTATATGATAGTTTAAAATAATATATAATTATTTGTTAATTAAAGTGTAAAATATTATTAATATTTAAATTATTTATTTATTTTCCGCTATTAACTGCTGCATTCATTTCTAGTTGATTATACTACAACAATTATTTCACCTTGGTTACCAATATTTTCCAATAACCTCATGCATATATACATATTCACGATTATAATGATAAAAAATGCATTCAAAACTAATGAAATGTGCATGCATTTGAAAGAATATAGAAAATTTGATTTGTTTATAATGTATATAAAAAGCGTATACATACTTAGTTGAACCTTATTTCGAGATTTACAAAACTTATTTGACTTTAATTTATTTCCAAAAACAATGAAGACTTTAAAATTTTGTTTTGTGAAGAAAACGCACTTTTTTGATTTGATGTACACACGTTTACACACACTTAAAATTGTTATATCACAGTTTTCATAAAATAAGCATACACGATACAATAATATGTTCCTAAATATACATACATATATCCATACGTATGTATGTAGATATCTATGTATCTTATTTGCACTTAATTTTCTTTAAATCCACATTATTGAGAAATCTACTAACGTGCATATTAGTAAAAATTATTTTTTGCCATATGAATTTTAATAAATAAATAAAAAATATTTATTTAGAAACCGCTACAACTTGAATTACAACAAATTTTATTTGCACGACAAGAAAAAAAATATTATCACATTTTTACAGCGAGCCGAGTCATTAAGGACTAAATAATATTCCCATAGTTCTATCTCTTTTAAGAGACTTTCACTCTAAAATAACATGGATGAGTATTCACTCCATTTTTGAGTTGAGTATTTTGCAGAGAATAACTATGAAGAGCAGACTTAAGCTAACGTAAACGTAACGTACTGGCCAGTGGGTACAATTAACATGAAAAAAGTAATCACATAGAATTATTTACCAAGAAATTTCTCGTTAGCATTAAGAGTGTCATAATTCAAAATTTGGAAATATTCAAACGATATAAAACAATCATAGACGTTTTTCTCAAGACTATGTTATGACGTAACAAGTATTTATAATATGAATTGTATTACCTTACGTAACGTTACGATATCTTAGGTTTAAATAATTCGGTAAAGTTTTGTTTTGAAACAAATAAATTGTTGTAATTCAGAAATCATGAATGAATTACTATTTTTAGCTAAATTTATTTACTCAAACATATATATGTATGTTTACAAACATATATACATATATATATATGTATATGTACATACATTATTATACATACACATATACAAAACACATACATATACAATAAAGTTTAAATATATTTACTCCTTCCAAGCAAGGAATGCAAACGTGGTGCACATTTTAAAAGTTTGTAATTAATTTAAAGATTCTTTTAAAACATTTATACATACTTTACAAATGGAAATGTCATTATCAAAAATTTGCAAAACAATTCAAATTGGCAAAATCTTATTTCACAAAGAAAATTATTATTACGATAATTAAGTACATAAGCTCATTTGTTTTCAATAATATTAAAAATGTCCCAAGCCTTAAGAAGGGCAATAACTTTTGTACAATTACATTAAAATAATAAAACGTGACAAGTTGCCTCCATAAAATTTAGCCATAGAATTCGAGAGTAAGAAACGAACAACTAATGTCTTGAGAGTAAAACTTAACTCTATACATTTAATTGTACACTTAATATATGTATTAAACAAACGAAAACGTCAGCCGTTCATCCAACTCAACGTAAATACATATTTTGTTAGTTCAAATTGTGTTGTTGGTGCAATGACAAGGACACCCCCTTGTGGTAAAACAAACCCATGAATCATTTACTTTTCATACAAAACATTTTCATTGAAAGAACTTAAATCACAACAGTTTGATATGAATAAATATTTAAAGACATACATATTTATTTAAATGCTTTTTAGGATATACACACATACATACATATGTACATATACTTTGATACATACATGTCAAATACTTCGACTACATTTGATACATACATACATTGTATCAGTGTATGTATGTGGCAATCGTAAAGTATGCACTTACACTATGAGTACATGAATATGTGTGGATGTATGTATATTGTTTATACAAATAAAAATAAAAGATTAATGGCTAAGATAATTTAGCATTTATACCATGTTGAAAGAAAATCACATAAATATATAATATATTGGGTGGGATGATGGAATAACATTAAGAGAAACTGATTTTTTTCCATTACAACTTTTAAACTCATTCTTTCTCTCTGTATCTATTCAATTTGTATATGCGCAGTGTAAACTTGCAGGTTTCGAAATTTGTCAACCTTAAAAAAAACTGCTACTTTAATGAAATTGTACGTAAAAACCTTATATATACATTTGTTTGTATATATTTATTTATGTATGTGTGTTGCATGATTTGAGTATTATTGTTGATAACCTTATTAATGTATATCTCAAACCCTGGTTTGAGCATAATTAGATTTGAGTGTGAATTTATATAACACCAACACAAAATTCATTCGGTTTTTGTTTTTCATTAAAATTTTTCTTTTCACTTATACCACTTAAAATTGTATACATTTCCGCTGAACTTTTGAGTGATATTTTTATCCAAGAGCCTTAAATAAATACAAGCATTTTTGTTGAAGCATTTCCTTAAATAAATATTTGGCAAATGAACTTTAACAATAATAAGAATTTTCCAGCTAAAAGGTTTAATAAGTCAGTTTATTTAACATTTTCGTTCAAGCTTTTAATTAAATGTTTCCTGCAAAGAATAAACAAGAAGTGAAACGCTGTCATTTTTTTACAACAATAACATTACGCTCTTCTCACAGACGAGTGCTGTGTAAATCCAACACATATGTAAAAATTTTATTCTCTCTCCAAACTTCAAAACTTTTTCGCGAAAATTTGAGGATAATAGCACTTTGAAATATTTTTTATCACTTAACATTATATTTTATAATTTTTTTGCACAATTTAAACTCATTTAATAGCCCGAAAATAATATATTTTTTACAAACGAAAAAAAAATATTTTTTGTTTTTTGACATTGAATTTTTGTTGTTTGAAATTAAAACTAAAAAAAAAAACAATGTTGTAAATTTTCGTATCGTAAACGAAAAAGATATTTCAAATAAATAATTTATTTTTTCAATATTATAGATTAAAAAACAAATAGACGTGTTTATAAAATGTTTATAGATAAAATATGTGCAAAATATCTTAAGAAACCTTTCAAAGTATAAATTGAAATGTAATAATTTTTTTTTCAATATTTTTCAATACTATTTTTTGCAACTATGTTGACTTGAGAATTCTACTAATACATTCTTAGAGTTAGGTACCGGATGACAGTAGACTTAGGTACTTTTGACAACAGTTTCATTTCTTATTTATTCTTTGGTTTCCTGTTCCAAACTTCTTAACAAATACAAAATATTGTCACTGTAAATGAGATGTTTACGCATACTCTGTTCATTTCCTAAATTATAGCTTTTTAGTACAATTTCGTATACATATCTGTTTTAGCTCTTACTAGCATTGACATTTTTAGTTGTAGAGAATTTTCACATTTTTTGGTCGTTTATTAGAATATATTTGCCTTAAATAAATAAAAAAGTTAAATTTGTTTACATAAAATTGTAAAAAGTAAAAAATAAATATCAGAAAGAAGTGTATAAAGTTGTAGGCAAACATTTTTTGTTATTGTGCTGCAGTAATGTTAGTGCATTATTAAAAAATGTTAAATAACATAACATGTTAAAGAAAACAACGAAAGCTCTTTGTATGTTAAAATTAAAGTTTATGTTCTTTGTTAAAAAAGATGTTAAATAATATCTGTACAGTTTAAAGGAAATGCAAAAAATATATTAAATAAATTCAAAAAAAATATCGTAAATCAAAAAAATATATTGTATGGTATTCAATCGATTAACCGTCATTCGGTTAAAAATAGCTAGAATTCGATGAACAAATAAACTGATCAATTTGTTTAAATTAAACGGTAAAATAATTTTGCAATAAAATTATTAAATGCATATTCCATAAAATGTTTGTATTTTTAAAATATTTTTCAATATTTTTTTCAATTAACCGAAATATATAACAAAATATTAAAACGAGCTCAAACGTATGCAATATATTTCCTGTTTATACTAGAAATGTTCTACATACACAAATATTTACACACTACAAGTACATATACGTATAATTAAGCACATCCTCACAACAGCTTTTCTTAATTACAACTTTTTAGAACTTTATGCTTTAAGCTTCCGACGCATACGCATCTCAATTCTAAATGACAGGGTTTTAGTACAATTTCATTTAATCATCTGTTTTAGCACTTTTTCTAATGTTGACACTTTTAGTTGATTCGCATTTTTCACACGGTTCGGTCGTTTATTGGAAGTGTTGTATAAATTTGTTTAGTTTTGCATAAAAAAATTGATAATATTTAAATATTTTTGCATTTAATTATAATTTAAGTGTTTCTAAATGTCTGTATATAAAAATCTTGCTGAAAAGTTAAAAATTAATAAGAGAAAAAAGTGTGTAAAGTAGTTGCAAACTAATTTTTTTTTGTTGTGCCGGTCGCTTTTTCTTTTTTGCTGTCGTTCGTTGCGTTCGTTATTAAGAGGTGTTGTGTTGTTGTTGTTAGTTATATTAGAGCAATGTGAAGAAAGAAGAAAAAATAAAGTAAAAATTAATATTTGTTGTGTTGTTGTTGTTATGAAATGTAAAGAAAGAAGAAAAAAATAAAGTAAATTTAAAATTAAAATGCAAACGAAAAAGGAAAATCATAAGTGTTTGCATTTCATGTAAAAATAAAGTTATTAATGTTAATTGATAAAAAGTATGTAAATTAAATTAAATATCTATTTGTTATAAAAAGAAATTAAATTAATTAAATTAATTAAATATGTATGTGATTGATGCCATGCTTACTTAGGTACATACATAAATATGTATACAATGTAAGTAATTTTATTATTTATTTAACAAATATTTTAAAAAACCCGAGACAACCTCTGAAAATTTCATAAAAATACATTTTTTTTTCATGCTTTGATAAATAAGCAACAACAACAACACTGCTTATTCATTGCGTTGTGTATTTTGTTTTTTTTTTTCTGAGTATTTCGTTTCGTATGTTTGGTTGGCTGTGTGTTTCATTGCCTTCTATATATTGTTTTTGTTTTCTTGGTGTATTCAGTTTCGTATGTTTGGATGTCTGTTGGTTTCATTGCGTTGTGTATTTTGTTTTTTGTGTGTTTATTTCGTTTAACGTTGTTGTTGTTGTTCATTTTATTTTGCTATTGCTATAATAATGATATAGGTAGTCCGGAAAAATAAAATAAATTTAAATTTTATAAAATTGATATTTTTTAAATACATTATGGTGAAGGATAGATTCGGCACAGCCGAATATAGCACTCTTACATGTTTTTTAATATAAACTTTTTGTTTAGTACCTATATCTGTATGTATGTATTTTATTTTTCAAATATTATAATAAGGTCAGGATTTTATTTTCAAATAATTATATTGATTCTTTAGAGTATGTACTATAAAATATTTGTGCTTACTATCAATAACACTGGTCTGCACTGAAATCCTCCTTTAAAAAATATGTTATAGAACTTAAGTTATTGCCTGTTTTCGATTTCTTCCTATCATATCACTATTTCGAGTAATTAACTAATTTGCTTAACCCCTATGTGAAGCTAATAAAATATTTTTTCAATACTCTTAATGAGGGTTGAATACACTTTTGGCGAAGATATGTATATTTTCATATTTAGTCCATGATCAAAAAATGTTATATATATAGCTAATTTTACTTCATCTTTTGGACTCACACTTTTTCTTAAAAAATCTTGCTGCAGTATCAGATAACAATTTCGATGGGTTCCACCAAGAGATATTATCGACATTTTAAATGAAATATGTCACTATAATTTAGTTTTTTGGACTCACAGTTTTTCCTGAAAATCTTGCTGTAGTATCAGACAAAAATTTCGAGTGGTTCCACCAAGAGATTTTATAAGAATGAAGAAGATACAAAGGAAAATGGTCAGGCCAGTGTAATTAAATATGTTTGTACATTTGAACAAATTAGCCATATGTATTTTAATACGGTATTCAATCGATTAACCGTCATTCGGTTGAAAATTGCTAAAATTCGTTGAACAAATAAACTGATCAATTTGTTAAAATTAAACAGTGAAATATTTTTTGCAATATTAAATGCATATTTCTTATATTATTAAACTTTTTATATATTGTAAGGAATAAGTCCATTTATTACTACTCATCTACTCAAAAAAGTGAAAAATGCAAATTTATATTATAAAATACTTTTTCGATTAACCGAATAACATTTACTAAACATTTTCTACATACACACATACATAGATATGTACATATACACATAGTACGTAATTAAGCACATCCTCGCAACAGCTTTTTTTAATTACAACTTTTTAGAACTTAACAATGTCTGTTTAAGAAGTAAAATAAATACTACTAAATATTTATGCTTTAAGCTTCCGACGCATACTCATCTCAATTCTAAATGACAGTTTTTTAGTACAATTTCATATCATCATCTGTTTTAGCACTTTCTAATGTTGACACTTTTAGTTGACTCGCATTTTTCACACGGTTCGGTCGTTTATTGAAATTGTCGTATAAAATTGTTTAGTTTTGAATAAAAAAATTGATAATGTTTAAATATTTTTGCATTTAATTATAATTTAAGTGTTTCTAAATGTCTGTATATAAAAATCTTGCTGAAAAGTTAAAAATTAATAAGAGAAAAAAGTGTGTAAAGTAGTAGCAAACAAATTTTTTTTTTGTTGTGCCGGTCGCTTTATTTATTTTTTGGTGTCGTTCGTTGCGTTCGTTATTACGAGGTGTTGTGTTGTTGTTGTTGTCGTTGTTTGTTATATTATTGCAATGTGAAGAAGTAAAGTAAAAATTAAGGTGTTTTGTTGTAGTGCAATGTAAAGGAAGAAGAAAAAATAAAAAATTAAGTAAAAGTATATTTGAAATTAAAATGCAAACGAAAAAGAAAAATCATAAGTGTTTGCATTTCATGTAAAAAGCAGAGTTATTAATGTAAAAAGTATGTAAATTAAATTAAATGTCTATTTATTACAAAAAGAAATTAAATATGTAATTTGTAATTGATGCCATACTTATGTACACATGTATACAATGTAAGTAATTTTATTATTTGTTTAACAAATATTCTGTATGCTTTTCTCAAAGAATAATTGCGATAAAATATTTTACATATTATAAAAATTTCTTTTAACTTATCTTTAAACATTTGCTAAATGTTTATGAATACGGCCATTATTGTGTATTTCTATGAACACGAAATAATTTGTTTTCCCTTTTAGTGTTTATACATACATACATAGATATTTCTGCAAGTAATATACTTACGCAAACTCATCTTTATTTTTCAATAAAAACTTTTTGTTTAGTATCTACATGTGTATGCATGTATCAAATTGCATACTTATCCTATTGTCTTAATAAAAGCTTTTTAGTACAATTTGACATCTGTATCAATGTCAACACTTTTCTTTTAGTTTACGCGCATTTTTCACACGGTTCGGTAGTTCATTACAAGTGTTGTATAAAATTGTTTATTTTTGCGTAAAAAATGCATAATGTTTAAATATTTTTGCATAAAATTGTTATATTAGTATTTCTTAATATGTTTACATAAAAATCTCATTGAAAAGTTAATAATAAATACTAGAAAAAGGTGTGTAAAGTTTCTACGGAAAATGTTTTGGTATTGTGCCGGCCGGTGTGTTTCTCTTGTGCCATCGTTCATTGCGTTAATAGCGATATTAGTAATTGTGTTAAGTAAATTATTCTTAACATAGAAATGTAAAACGAAACCAATGAAAGCTCGTTGTATATTGAAAAGTTTAAGTTTAGCATTTCTGTTAACTTAAAAGCTTTTTATATGTAAATAAATTAATATAGAAATCTATGTTGCTAACATTCGATATAATATTCTCATTTGATAATACAAATTTTTATGTATGTATAATAAAATCTTCATATTAAAAAGGTAAAATCTGCAGCCATAATTTCTTTTAAAAGTTTTAGTATGAAGAATTTGGTAAAGACAGTTGCATTCATTACGGTTGACAGTGTTTCATTAAAGTTTGTACATTATGTAAAAATTTAAATGTAAAATAACATAAACACAATAATATAATAATGTACTATTAATGTACAGTATGATTAAATTAATATTTTGAAAACTTTGTAAATTCAAAAGCATGAGCTTTTCCATTAATATAAACGGAAACGGAAATAAATAATTTATAAGATTTGTAAAGGAAGAATTCTCTTTCAAATCAAATAAATATTCGAATTTGTTTAATAAAAACTAAATAAATATATCTTGGAAATAGTCAATAAAATTCAAATGGCCTATATCATTGACCATAGAATTTTATTTAATTTACGTATCTTTTGATTAAACTTTTTATATGCAAGCTAATACATACATACATTTTTCATAGGTAATATTAATTTTATTTTCGAATCATTATATTGATTCTTTAGAATATTTACCATAAAATACTTGTGTTTACTATCAATAATTAAATACATTTGTATTTGGATAAATTAGCCATATTTTATAATACACGACAATAGTTTATTTTGTTTTTTACTTAAGTAACTAAAAATTAAAAGCTATTAAAACTACTAAGTACAATGTAATACATTTAGAAAAAGGAATTGGTGTGTATTTGATTCTTAAAGATTTGAAAGTACACATAAAGTCAAAAGTTATTGAGATTCACCACACCAAATAATTGAAAGGATAATTAATTGGGTTTGCATCTAATGGCTTTGACCGCTTACGAAAAACTAAATAATACATTAAATCCTATTGTAAAGCACTTTGTGGGGGTGTTAAAGGCGTCCAATTGCCAGATCCAGATGCTGCAGCACTGATATTACCTGACACCACAGATGTGTTGGCATCGCCTGATGGAACCCTATTTATTGATGGGCCATTGCTTGTTACTAAAGATTCCATTTTAACGGAGTTTTCGTGGACAAGCGCTGTAGCATCTGATTTTAGATTGTTGCACTCCAAGGTCAATACCGTTGAAGATTCATCCGGATTTCGGTATAATGAGTCATTAGTTGTAGAGTCCATTGTTTTAGTAATTTCTACTGGTTCTAGAGGTGTTGGAGCATACGTGCTGAATTGTTGGTAATGGAAAGAAAAATCATTGATAACTAAACTACATATTATTAAAACACATGTCTTATTATTAACTGGGATCAATTTTTGAGACTTACCCTATTTCTGAAACCAATGGAATATATTCTGTTTGATAGGCGTACGCAGCAGCTGCAGGATTCTGATAGAGACCATATTCGGCAGCGGAGCCGTTATGCCAAGAACTCGCTGGATAACTTAGAGCACTAGGAGGATTTAAAACGTTCGTGTAGAGTTGGTGGGAAGAAGGTGAGGTTGGTGTGGGGTGGTAAACTTGGTGGGCGGGTGCAGCATAAGTCTGAGTAGGTGAAGATGAAGCAACAGTTTGATACATATCTGATGTCGCGTGATTGGTCGATTGAGACATATTATATTGGTGACCATGACTATGAGGTGTTAGATGATGGATGGTATATCCTGGTGAAGGGGACGTATATGTGGGCGAACCGTTATTTGTAGGAGAAGGCGAATTATGAGAAGCTGTAAAATAAAAACTATGTTAACAAATTTACTTGGTAGTAACATCACCAATTCACTTACTTAAAACTCTGGCCGTATTTACGGGCATCGGTCCTGGCACAGTGGAAGAGCTCCAATAGTTTGTATTTGTTTGCCAAGATCCTGGATAGGAAAATACCGTAGCACTAGTTGTGGGTTCAACAGGCATAAATCCTGATTGAGAATAGGAACTTGTAAAACCACCTGATACTGCAGCTGTTGAGCAAAGCGATGACGATTGCATGCTAGTGGGAGTTTGCGGAGCTGATGGAGGTTGGGGTGGCGAAGAATTTCCTGTACTTCCATTAGATCCAGAACCCGAAACTATACGAGGTCTGCTATAAGGAGTAGATCTATTTGAAGCTGTCGTTCGGCTTGTCAAGGATCTTCCATAACGATCGCAATTACCAGCTGCCAAGGAAGAATCGGCCAGGGATAGAGACGAGGGATTAGTATTAACTGTGGCGGTAGTGTAATGCGAAGGAGGGGGTATTAACCAACCATAGTGAGCATCATGCGAATATAAAGTATCAGGACGCTCCTTTGTGCAATGTTAAATGTTTTTATTAGTTTTTGTTGTATACGATATTATTAAGTTTAATTTAAATGAAAGTTTGAAATGAATCTTACCTTGGCATCTAGAAAAGCTTTAGCAAACGGATTATATTTGATCTTCAATGAAGTAACTTCTTCGTTTTGATATGCTGTAACTGCTATAAATTGCGTTTCAGGAAATGGATATGTAACAACATGGCGTTGTTCTGAGCCCACTCGAACCAAATGCACTCGTGGCTCATATTTGTGTAAGGAATTTAGCATAATTTGACCATTACCATTGGTTTTGTTGGTCAGTTTAACTTTTGCAAACGATATAGGTTCCTTCATCCAATGAGCACCAAAATTTGGAGACTCTGGATGTACATAGATGGGATTCGAAGGTGGCACTTCAGCTTTACCGCCTGGAACCCATTCGCCATTTACATATTTCCACCGGTGAGAATCTACTTGAACAAATTCCAAAAGAACTGTGTACATGGCTGCAGGGTCTAAACCTGATGCACTTATTTTCACTACCGGAAACATACGACTGTAATACATAAATATTTTGTTTATTAAATTCTTGCAACAAAGTCAAACAAAATCTATTAAATGCATATTTCTTTGAATTTTCATTTTCTTTAAAATAAACTAGAACCATGACTGTTTTAATTATCACTTTAATATTAATATTCAAACCAAAATTAATAGTTTTTTTTTTAAATTTTTATTCTTTGTTTTGTAAATGTTAGAAAACGTTAGAATCTCATTATACTCCTACTTTTACAATACATACACAGATGTGAATGTAAAAAAACAAAACCTTCAAAGGTAATTTGCAAAACAAAAAGTTTGTAAACATTTAGCACTTCAAAAATGTGTAAATATGAACAAAAACAAAAAAGTAAAAAAAAAACAATTACTTTGCAAAATTGAAATACATACCGTCCATTTTTTGTAACAATCATTTCATTGGTAAGATTTTGAAAACGTAACCATAATTCTCGATCATCCAAAGAAACGTGGAGATTTCGTTCCAAAGCACTAGGACTGCCTCGTTGCTGCATAGAGCCATGGTTGTTTGTATTTAAATGTTCCGAATGTAAATGCTGAGGGGAATGAGTGCCATTTGTTGATTGATTTGGATGGGGATCCACAGCAGATAAAATATGGGATGTTGACATGTCTTCTGGAATTATTTAAAATTGTCAAAAATATTATTTTTGTCAAAACCCTGTGATTTTTAAATAAATGGTAGAATATACTTTTTGCCATGTTAAAAACTTTTAGACAGATTCAACTTTTGAGCATTTTGTGTTTTGAGACATAACCCTTTAGTTGCAAATAAGAGAAATATTAATATATTTTCAAAGCACTACATAATATTTAAAGTTTGGGATTTCATGTCAAAATATTTTCAACGCTTATAAAAACATTCATAATTTTATTAGTTTACAGGGCCAATTCAAATATGTAATAAAATGTTTTTGTTGTTTTCTTAATTTAAATAGTCTTTTAATACATTAGACTCATATTCATACATACATACATACACTCAGAAACGTGTATAAATAAAAAAGACCGCGATATATGATGTCGGTACAATAAAAACTCTATATTCTTTAAATCTTCACAATCACAAAAAATCTTAAGAATTTCTACTGCCAAAACAACTTCTTCTTCATGTTGTTTTGTGTTGCTGTTGTTGTTTTCTGTCTCAAATCGTATTGTCTGAAACACTCATTCGAATGTCGGCATTTTAAAATTATATTGCACTTTTTAGCCACGCTCAAGTGACTGGGTGTAAATGTGCGTCATAACTGTTGAAAATAACTGAGATAAAAACAAAAACAAGAAGAAAAATTAAGATTCTTGCTGTATCTTTATTAAATGTATGTCCGTCTGCCGGCGTATGGGTTGATTGTTGATGTTCTGGGATGTCATAAATATGAGGGATCCCTTCTGTTTTATGATGCTTTAAGTAAAATGTTTATTATGAAAGTGTTGAAACAAACTGCTGTTGAAATTGGTAAATTGGTTTTGGTATAATACTTTCTGTTCAAATCATAAACAAACAAAATGTTTTAATTGTTCCTTATAGATGGAAACAAACGACTAGAACTCTGATAAAAAATAACACTCTTCGTATAAGATTTATTAAGGAAAAATCAAAGAAAACACAAAAAATAATTGAATTGTTTAACTTTGAAAAGGTTTTTGAAAGAAATTTTGAAAATAAAATTTATTAGACTTATGCCGACATTAATTTAGATGCACCTTTGTTATGATGCTAATAAAAAGAGAGTAAACATTTTACTTAAATTTGTATAACAAAAAAATAATAAAAACAACAAAATATGCATAATTACACAAGTACTTTTTTAGATCTAGGTATATTTTATTTAAATCTATTATTTATTTTGCTATATGATGCATTGTTCATAAATAGCCAAAGCGGAAAATTTTAGAAATATCCACCTTAATATAATTTTTTTACTTTTATTCATAGAGCCATTTTTTCTTGTTCTCAATTTGTTTATTTGTTATTTATTAAAGTTTGTAGTGTTTAAAAATAATCGTGACTGTATTATTTATTTAAGTTAATCGAGCTTAAAGAATACTTAAACTCATACATACATAAGTACATTAGGATGACCCTGTTAGTATTGGGAAAAAATAAAAGCTTCTTTTGTTTAAGATTTTGTTTGGTTGTTGATGAACTCTAATTGTTAAAATGATTATTTTTAAAAGGATTTATTTTAAAGGCTTATTAATAATCATTTATCAAAGGCTTATAAAATAACCTCTATATACATATGTCATAAACTTTGATCAAAAGTTTATAGAACAAATGGGACCTATGGGTCATATTCATAAACTTTTATCAAAGGTTTATAAATCAAATTTTCATTGTATATTTGTTTTATAAACCTTTGATAAATGCTTATGAATGAGGCAGTCAAAACAACATTTTATATTATAAAAGAGCATAAAAAAATTTGGCCTTTGAAAGTAAAAGAAAAGAAATTTTTTAATTCCAAAAAAATTAAGATATTACTAAAGATTTATAAAATGTTTATAAATTGAATTCTGTTTGGAATTTTTATATACAATTTTATTACGAACATATATAAGTTTCTTGATCTTGAAATTTAAGAGAAAAGAAAATATACCGTCGGTAAAAATATCAAATATCATCATAAAAACCAGTTTAAAAAAATAAAAAGTTAAATTCTATGCAAAAATTTATTATACACCTGAGATCAGCCTATCCATACAATTGAACTTAGAGAACGAAGGTAACTTATGTAATTTAGGTATTTAAATTAGTTTATAATTAAGAAACTAATAAAATTTTCAACTTACGCATTTTCAATAAATTTAGTTTTTGATGAGTTTCACTAAAATTGATGACTGCGATTTTTATTTGTTCCAAAAAACCAGAAGCAAATATCAGGTTGCTAACAGCAATTGGTTTGTTGTTTATTTTATGTTCTATATAAAATTATAGTTTTGTTTAATATTTGCCAGTAATAAATATAATTATCACCCAACAACATAGACTTCTTTTATTGATATATATTTTTATATTTCCTTTTTTGCACAACAAAAAATTTCACACTTTTTATGAGCGTCGGGAAAACACCTTTAAATATTGTAAAATATTTTATATTATTTTTTTTTTTTTAATTTTTTAAAGCGACTTTTGCATTTTATAATTTTGTTGTTTTTTACTTTTTTATATTTTGGTAACTTTTTTTATAATAAACGTTTAACACTTGCGTGTCAAATGTGTCACGCGCCACTTTAAATTATCAAAACGACAATTAACGGAAACGGAACTTGTTATTGTCAACTCTTCTGCTCTGCTTTGATATTAATAATGGTGGTAGTTATTTTTTTTAGCAACTTGTTGTTGCATTTATTTTTGATTGTTTAGTAGAATCTCCTGTGATTATGTTAATTAGGTATTTTTCACTTTTTTGCGTTAAATTATTAAATTACTGTTAATTTTAACGTTTTATTAAATATTATTTTTTTAACTTTTTTTTTGTAATTTTATTTTGTGTGTTAATGATAATTCACGGTTTGTTAATGATTGGTAACGCACTTTATGTTGACGTTAAAGGTGTTGACTACGTGTGTGTATATGGAGGATGATGGGATAGTGGTACTGGTACCGTTGGCGGTGCTGGTGATTTTGAATCGTACTAAAATTTTGTACAAACTGTAATTAATTAGTATCCATTTGTCAAATACAAGTATGTGTGTTAATGGCGTGCGAGTAACTAGATTGTAGATTTTTTTTTAATATTTTGCTCACTTTATTTGCAGTTATTTTTAGAATTTATGGACTTATTTTTAGACTTAAAATATGACAATCAAACACTATATTTATGTCATTTATTTTTTAATTTGAATTTTACGGCAATAGTTATTGTTTAATCGTAAATAAAACACCATCCATTTGTTTGACACTAAAAGAAGAAATAATATTTCAATTTATTATTTAGTTGCAAGTTCAAATGTTGTTTTTTTAAAACTTTCAAATATTATTTTATCTTTTGTGACTTACCGTTCTTAAATATAGATAAAATAGTTTATCATTTATTTAATTTATATTTTTAAATAATATTTTAAATATTTTTACTTTTTAAAATAGCGTGTTCACACCCGTTTGCGTACTCCGAAGCTAATGATCGGTGTTAATTTGTTCAGCCATCACAAAAGTTGTCGTTTTTTGTTTTCATCACAAACATCATTCACAAAACCCAATTCAGATATTCTTGTTGTTGTCTTTGTATTTGTTGTTTTTCTATAGTTTAGCCTTTTGCTCACCTTTCTAACTCTTTCACTGTTACAGTGTTTTTTGTCTCGTTTCTACACCTTGAAAGCCCCGCCTTTTTGCGTTCTTCTTTCATCTTCTTTTGAACAGGTAGGAATCCATATTGTTAATATGTTCAGTTCAGTTCAGTTTGAAATCGTCTGTATATGCACGACCATTTTAACTCTCTTTGATTTTAGTCATTATACATTTATTTGTTGCACGGACTTGGTAACAACAGGTAGTTAGAGTTGTTTTGAGACGAAACCGTCTCAATTTCATGTATGAAACGTGTACATTGAGAAAAATATTGTAAATGACTTTCAATGAGTATTGATTGTTAGCAGGTTAAGTAAGTGCAATAGTTGTTAATGGCAGACTTATAAAGGAATAGACTTATGAGGTTAAAATTTGTAATAGATATATTTTACTGATAAACGAAGTATATGTACATATATGTTAGACGTCTAACTGATTAAGAATTTTTATTAATCATAATTTTTTCTAATAATATAGATTAAATGTTAAATTTTCTTTAATTTGATTATCGTAACGGAAGCGTTATGGAAATAAATTTTAAAAATATTTTTTACGAAATTTATAAATGTTGAATACCGTGTACATTATCATTCGTAACATTATAAGTTAAATACTTTGTTAAAAATGTGATATTAACCTTTGATCATCGACATGTTTTGTTTTGTTAATGTACTTAAAATACTTTTTTAAAGATCGAAACAATTTCTTGCAGTGTTCTTACGCCACTCTGTGCTATCGTCATACAAAAATGTATAAATACCTGGTACAAACAAAATACTTTTTATTGTTGTAATATTGGTTATGATTTGTTTTTGTTTATTTTCAAAATATATATAGTATATATAATGTTTAACAAAATAAACTACAATAACTTAAGTATAGACTTTTTATTCAATTCATCTTCTGACGTTTTTTGTGACTAGATGATCATACATACGATATTGTGTATTAGGGTGCAACCAAAAATGTAACAATGATCATTCTATACTAAAAACCATAAATGTTTATAGATTTTTCATAATAAAATTTAAGTAATTAATTAAAGTCAATAAATCTGGCTAATAACCAAAAAATATATAAAATTTATTACTATTTCGGAATAAGTACATTTTGGGATACAAAGTATGCGCCCTAATGTGTTTATATTTATTTATTTATTCTGCTTTCCTCTGTGATGAACACTGGCGATTTCCATTGAAAAACACTTACCTCTACTTATCTGCACAACTGTATTCTCTTATTTGATTTCGAATTTAATTTAAAGAGTTTATTTTCAGGGGCGATCAAATGTTTAGTCTATTCATTAAAATTGACTAAATTCAAAATTGTTATTATTGTAAAAAATCTTATGATAGTTGAGCTATTTTTTAAAGTGGTTAATGAAATAAACAAAATGTATGAAAAAATACAATACGCTTGTTTCACGTAGACAAAAATCGAGTGAATCGATAAGAATTGAAGAAAAACTTTAAAATTCTTTCAAACTTATTTTATACAATTTTTAACTCACTTTCCATTGGACATCGTGGAACAGTCAATTTAAGTATTTTTTCTGAAAATTTCTTAATTTTTTTTAATTTTCTACAAAACGTGTCTTGTGATTTAAAATCTGTTTTTATTTTTGATATTTTTAAGTTACACATTCTACTTTAGCATGTTTTTCTTACACCATGTCCAATTGAAATTAGAAACATTCATTTTATGTAAATGATTTTTATTTTATATATTCCTATAAGATATATTAATATTTTGATGAAAAATTTAGTTTTTAATGAAAATGTTTTATTTAAACAAAAAGACTTAAAAAACAAACTTGATAAGGCTTTTTTTCATATAAAGTTTGTTTCCTAAGTCTTTTGATTCCTATACTTTTCTCCTACAATTATTTAGTATTCAGTGCAGCAATTGTTTCAAATTTTCCTATATTTGTGGAAATATTGATAAAAATAATCTTGCAAAAGCCTTTCAGTATACCAGTATTATGTGTTTTAAGTTCAGAAGGTTAAGTTTATTCACTTTAGCACACAAACGTAATAATATTTAAACAATTTTGTATACTGGAAATGGTACATTACTAGTATTTGTTTTTATTTCTCTTGTAGTTTTTTTTTTTTATAATGTTTTTCAATATGCTATGAAGCGTTTATTCAATGGCAACGTATCCACAAATCAAATGATGTGCCAATGAGAAAAGTCAACAGAAGTTGGAGTTAAAAAAATACAAGTCTACAAATTATTTATGTTGTATTTCGTTGAAAGTTCAACAACGAGACTTCGTACACTTCTTTATTTAAGAGAAAAATTAAAAAAAAAATATACAATATATAGAAGAAGATCAAATACAATTTGTATAAACCAGCAGTAAGTGAACAAATAACAAGTAAAATATGAATGCCTGGATACGGTTGTATTCACAACAAAATCAAACAAAAAACCAAAATGACTAAAAAGAAACTAAATAAAATTTGAATTGAAAAAAGAAAAAAAAAATGTACTTATGTATAAAAAAAATCCAATGTTTGTAAGTGGAATATTTAAAAAATCAACAAACATAAAGGATAATGAACTCATTTCATACAAAACATTGCAAGCTCTTCTAATTCATCTATTACTTAATTTCAATTAATTGAAATGTATTAATTAAATTTCATTAAAAAAATCTGTTCTTCAAGGTCAGTTTGATTTTAATTGTTCTAAGTAAAATCCCTTTTTAGTATCTCCGATTAGTGTTGAACCTTGAGTTTTGTTACAACTTACACTTTTTGCTCTACCTGCGTTAAATTTATTGTTTTTGTGTTTCTCTTTTACATTTGCTCTAATTTGGGAAAGTTTTGCTTTTGTTTACAAACCCAAATCCTTTTAACACAACCAGCACGACTAGTAGCCATTGCTAAATTTTCAACCCTTTCATTTATATGCATCGTTTATGTGCAACGTGTGTTAAATTTCTAAGATTTTTTGTTTTCATTGTTCTAACTGCCCTAAATATTTACCACACTTCAATTTTCCTTATAATAACCCTTTCTTTTTGTGTCTATCTTTAAATGTTTTTCTCAATAGCAAAACAAAAACAGCAACAACTACTCAATATTGTTTATGATGGCTCAAATGCAAATCCGCGCCCTAATTAGTCTGAGGTTGTAAACTCATAAATGCGGTGCTTTAGTTGTACAGATTTGTTGTATTTTTAGATAAGTTTTTGTTTTTCACAAAATCCATCTAAATATTTGTACGAAAACAATAGATCATAAGCGGAGAGGAAAAGTAAATATAATTAGATTAAATATCTAACTACGAATGCAAGTAAAAATGTTTTTTGTTCTAATTTTTGGAAAAACCCCGACAATATCAAAACACATGATGAATTTGAAATCTTGTTCCATTAGTTTGTTTTGCTATTTAATGAATTTACTTTAGTTTTAGTTTTTATAGGCGAAGGTCTTTTTAGTAGTAGACTTTATTTTCTAAATAAATAAATGTATGTATAATAATTTGTATGGGTTCCGAACTTGTTATACGACACAACTTACCATTTTGTAGTATTAAGGATGAATCATTGTTAAATTAAAGCGTCATCCATTTTAAGGGGTAGAAACGTTTATTTTAATTCGGTATCTCTGAAACTATTGAGATATCGTAACGATATTCCACATAGTTGGAGATAAGGTTGATTCACCAGTGGGTAGCCTCTCAAGATTGATTATCTCGGGTATTACATTATTTTTAAATCGCAAAAAAATAAATTTCTGATCCGAATGAGTTTGGGATATCTCTTTCGATTCAAGAGATATTTAGGTTAAGTTTTTTATTTTTAAGGGTCGTAAAATTTGTTTAAATATTTTGTAGTTTTCCGATAAAATTCAAAATAAAACAAAACACTTTCCAGCTGTTATATTGTCCCTATAAAAAGTTAGACGCATTCAAAGTTGAAACATTTAAAAATAGAATGCATAAACGTTGAAAATAAAATTTGGTCCATTTAAGCGGACACTGGCCCCACCCGCAAAGCACCAATCCTCATAATGACTGTTTATTTATATAACCCTATATGTTCCTTAAATATATTCAAAGTTTTTTTACTATCACTTTTCCCCGCTTTATAAAATCTATATATTATGAAGGGTTAAGCATCATAATGGACCTTATAGTCCATTGACCATGTAATTCTCTTTAAAGAGTCAAGATTCGGGAAAGAAAGAAGAAGATGGGTAAAGAGGTTAGATGAATTGAAACAGATCTATTCCAAGGTATTATAATCCACAAGATTGTAACAAGTCAGTACCCTAAAGAATAAAGAGATGAGGGACAAAATCTAAGCCAAGTTAAAAAAGTGACTTATTCTCTAGAAAAATCGAGACTGCGGGGTTAAAGACCGGCAATTTCCTCCATTTCGTCATTGAACCTATTCCATAGTCATTTTAGCCTGAGATTTTGTATCCTAGGACAGTGGCAAATTATATGCTAGATCGTCTCATCTTCGCCTAACCTGCAATATGACTGTCCCATTTACTCACAAATACCCTAACTGGTCAAAGCCCCATTAGCATCCCTATCAGAATTCTTAGACTGAGTTTATCTAGTCCTATAAATATTTTGATAGTCCCCTTATTGTTTAAGTGTTTTGAATAAAGATTATTTTTCCCTTGAAATACATAGATTAACGACGATAGACTGTAATAAATGATAAATGCATTATATCAAAGAATATTTATTACAAGAATACACATCTCGACATGCGGGTTTGTTATGATTTACACGTATTCTTTATGTATCACGACCCGCTATTGTAAATTTATCTTGTATATTCTTTGATTATATTGAAATTATTTGCCATTATTATTTCTGATTAAAAGAAAACAAACTTTCAACTTCAAAAATTCATTCTTAGAAGGAAATTATTTGCATAACAAAACAAGTGTGAGTATCAATTGTCCTGGAATATATTGATTAGCATGTGGTGGTACTACTACTTCCTTATCGGCTTTCGAAATTGTGATATCGGTGTTTAGCTACAACAATTCTTTGATTTGTTTGTTTACTTTTTAACTACTTTTGGTGATATAATTACTTACACATTATTTTTCTTTCTCCAATATTGGTAATACTTAAAAAGTGTACAACAAATTTAAAATGAAACAATTCTTAAGAAATATCCGCCTTAGTCGTTGTTTAAGCTGATGGTCAATGGTCCAATATGACAGTACCCTTTTCATAAAATGGGTCTGTACTTGTGTTTAGTTATTGTATTGCTTATGTATGTATGTGTTTTCTTCATGTATTTGTTTAAATAATTTGTTTAGTATTAAACCATTATTTGCTCTAAAACCTTTTTTCAATTTTTGTTTAAGCCATCGGGGTACTTTGCTGTTTGTTGTTCAATACAAAATGCTCCGTTTAAAAGATAGACCAAGTAAACAAAGTCTTTCACTTCACCATAATGAACGAAAGATATGGAAATGGAAAACATTAATAATTTGTACTTGTTTTATAAACAAAATACTTACATACATACATACATATTTTAAAATATTAATACTTACACGAGTAGAGTATGTATGTATATATACGCAATTGTGTAAAGTGGAAAATTTGTAGAATAATTTAGTTTGTAAATTTAAATTGTAAATTAAATTTAGTTAACAGTTCTTAGTACTAATGGGGTATTTTCTTCAAGAGTCTTTATGCAGCTTTAATTTAAGGCGATTCCATTTAAATCATAGTTTTTCATTTGAAGCTATTTTTTGTTTTGTTTAAATATATGACATATATTTAAACACTTTTGAAGAATGACAAATATAGTCCAGGAGAATAATTATATTACTTCCAAGATAAATTCCATAAACATGATTTTGAAATCTCCACATTTGTATATTTGGAGTAACAACATTTTTATTAATCAGATTTCTTTTTTTTTTAACATAATTAATTTATTTAAAGTTGCGTTTTGGAAATAATTTCATAAATTTTTTGTTTTCTCTTTCACTTAATTATTCATTTCAATATTCGAAAGGTACTAGTTATGATTAAAAAGATGAAATGAATAAAAAAAAAATCAATGAAAATTTACATACAATTTATATAATTATAGATAATTTATATTGTATTAATATTAGTTAATAAATAAATCATTAATTTTATTATATTTTGTTTAAAAAAGCAAATAAATTTAATTAAAATTTTTTTGATTTTATAAAATCATGTTATTTAGTTGTCGGTATGTAAATATGTATGTATTTATGCACATTGGGCTTTTTATTTATGAAAACATGATAAATTGCAGTTTGGTTAATTCATTTTCTTTTATTTTTTTGGCAATAAAGATATGCATAGAATATTTCTTATGTATTTTTGGTTTCGGGATTTATAAATTTGTTTATATATTTTTATATGATAAATATTTTTTTTAAGGATATGTATTATTATTTTGTGTTTTTATCTGTTGTAACGTTTTATAGTTTTCTTTTATTATTTTAGTTATTTTGTTTTAATAATATAATATAATTAGTTTAAAATAGTTTTTCTTAATTTTTTAATAACAACATCAAGATTATGGGAAAATGTGATAGTTTGAGTTCAGGAAAATATTTAAATAAAGTGCTTAACATGTTAATAAATAAGTAATTTTAAAATTATTTATTAAAAATCAATTAAAAATTTGTTTGTCATAATTTGTAAGTGTTTTTAAGTTTTTTTTTTTAATTATTTATTTAGTTTTAACAATATGGAAGACATTTGCAATTCATTTTTTTTTCTAAAATTAGTTACTTTTATCTGGTTGTTTTTATATAATTTTATAATAAATAATAATATTATTAAAATTATATATTATATAATTAAAGTAAATAATCTTTACACACACTCCTTTTTTATTTATTTTTGTTTGTTTAGTATTTGGTTTTTTAGAATTTTTGTAATTTACTCCATAGTGCCGTATTGCACCTTTTTAATTTTAAAATATCTGAAAAGACAAATGAAAATCATTAAACACAATTTAAGAGAAATAACTTTTTATAAATTAAAAATTCTAAAATATTATTAAATATAATAAATACCAAAAAGAACCAAAAAGAACTATTTATGCAATTAAAAAGAAAGGTTTTTACACCAATTAAAAAGAAAGGTTTTTACGTCCAAAAAGTAGATCACTTTTTAAATTTATTGAAAAAGGCGAGGTAAAGGGGTGTGATTTGTCCCTCTTCGAAATCTATCTTTCTATCCCTAATGTACATACAAACGTATGAAGACAACCCTTCGATAAAAGTGTTTCTTTTTTTATAAAATCGTTTTCAAAATTGTCTAGAAATGTTCGTGTTTTTTATATTGGTCTTAAATCATGTCCTATGTAGACATTTCCTTCTTGTTAGCACTTCAATAACTATCTAGCAATTTAAATTCCATCTTACCTCCATCCACCATAACCGGAAATTGTTAATAATACCGCTATCGCCAAAGCAGTTCCCACTGCCAATGGAGCAGTTTCATCCCTGTATGAACCCGTAGCGCTGCAATGAAATGATGGTCCCCAATTGCCGCTCTCCTTAAACATAAAACTCTGCATGTGTAAATCCCTTAGATATAGGCGTGCAATATGACCTGACTGGTCTCCTGAGTCCAATGGTGCATACATTACAACTGTTTGTTCTTTATCGCAGACATAAGATTTACCCACTGGCGTTGGGAAGTACATGGGTGTATGCGAGGGTGAAGTTAGTTTAACATCTAAACCAGGGCGATCTGGATGTTCAAATAATGAATTTGAAGATGAATAACTCAGTTCAAATAGATTGATATACCATCCTTCACCACCAGAAGACTACGGGGAAATATTAACATTTGTGATTTCACATTCATTGCCAAATTTAAACATAATTAATTATTGCCCTCGTTTACCTTTCTAAATGTCATTTGCAATTTAAATCCCTTAAATTCCAATGACAATATCTCCAAATTTGATTCCACACATTCGCCATTTAAGACAGGATCGTCGGGTAAATATAGATCAGCCTCAACATCTTCATTCAATTTATTTCGATATTTAATACTAATTAATCCATCGACACTAATGAGAATGCAAGTAATACCATTGGTGGCGTTAAAGCGGTAAAGGGAAGTTGTGGCATCATGATTCATAGAAGAAGACTAAAATACAAACAAGTTATAAATGTGTTTTACATAGATTTGATTAAACCACTAGTTTATTTTGCATCGATTGACTTACCGCTGGTGATTTAGTTGTGTACTTGGTAACCCTGGGAGTTTTGGTAGTAAATGCGCTTAGCTGCAGACCTTGACAGCATGTAACTTAATAGAAATATATAAAAAAAAGAAAAAACACTAAATTAATATTCCCTAAATTATTGTAACAATCAAAAAAAAAAATCAGTCATTCTAAACGCATTTCCGACTAAATTAATAATGTATAGTAGTTTCAAAATAGTCGCATATTTTTGGATGGAGTAAAAGTGTGTAAAGAAAAATCGATTTTTCTACACGTTTACAATAAGATATATCGCAATTTAACCCCTCTCACTCCACGCTGCCTTCATTTTTTTTTTTTCTATTTTTATCGTATTTTCCTTTGAGATACTTTCTCAATGTGCACGCAGTCCATTTAAAGTGTACATTCCTAAAAAGCTGGTAATCTTTATAGTGAGATTAATTAAACAATTCTGAGATTATTAAACATTTCATTAATATAAAATCGCTGAAAAGTCGTGTAATCATTGAACTTTGACCGTTTAATCCAATGTGTTTCGTTATGCAATAAATCAATTACTTAAATAAGTATTCGCAGAATAATTATCTTAGAATTCGAACTGTTTCGTCCACATACATACATATAAATAAACAGGGACAAGTTTTAATGAAAAATATAGAGGATTTTATGAATATATTATAGATTTTCAATAGAGATATTGTTGATATTATATTTTAGAAAATTATTTTATTTATATTTGCTTTCTGTGGCATAGAATTCAATAGCAAGCAACACATTTTACTTCATTATCATTGCAGTTGTCGTCATCGTCATTATTATCATCTTCCTTACACACTTACCCAGTAAAGAGAAAAGTATACTTGTAATTATCAAAAATTCATAGCGTAGTAACGTTAGTTTTGATTGACTCAAAAAATTTAAGATTTTGGTCATTTTTACAAATTCTCAAACGTATTTGATATGAAGAAACTTTAAAAAAAAAATCGTTATAGTTGTGAATTAATAAAAAAAGATTAAATTTTTTAGCTTTTCAATTTATGTTTTTTTTTTTTTTGTATTGTAAAACTTTTTTCCTTTTAACACTCCCGTATTTTAAAATCAAACTTTCATTATGCAAGTCCTGCGTACAAATGATGAATGAATTTATTTCGTAAAAAAATTGACATTAATAAGAAAATGACAAGTAAGAAACTGTTTTTATATTTTTATAAAAAGCGCAGGTCCATTAATTGGTCTAATAAAAATATAAGAAAACTGTATACATATAGTGTTGCCAATATATGAAGATTAATATTATTTTTGTTGTTTATTGAAAATTAAAATTTTTATATATTTTAAATTTTTTATTTCACATGTCCGTCTGTCCGTCTATTTGCTTGTTAAAGATAGAGCTTAGGAGTGCGTTCCAAGAGGGATAAAAATATTTTGTTATGATCAGACATTTTCGGTATTGAAAGTAGCAAGTTTTCCTTCTATAAATGCAATATTTTATAAAAACGAGATAAATAAATAAAAAATACATATTTTTATAAAATTATCGATAAAAAATAGTTTTTTGAAAAAATTTAAAATATAGGTTTGTGTCTCTACTACTACTCTTAAGAATTATTGTTGTGTAAAATCGACCAATTCATTAGTTTTAATGGGGTCGTTTTTACAAAACCAAATTGCAGTGTTGCCAGAAGATGTTTGTCTGAAAAAGCGCTTAATCATAAAAAGTGAGAAAAATCATTTTAGAATTTTTAAATTACCTCTTAAAACTATTAAAGTAGGGTTTTTATCAAGGACCTAAAATAACTGTAATCAAAATTTTATAGTTGAAACAAACAGTCGACTTTTAATATGTTTGATAAGCCGATTTTTCGACTTTTGTTATTTATGAAAAGTCGACGGTTTGCATTATATTAGAAATCGACTGTTTGTGTTTTATAAAAAGTCGACTTTTTGACTAATCAAACTCTTTTTAATATTGACTTTTGACTTCTCCGACTTTTTCAATTCTTTTCTAACCCTTTCATTGGAATGCGACAGGTCTTACAAATCACTAGATCAGATACCATTAATTTCCTAATAAATCACCTATGTGCATTAAATATTTTAGCGTGTATAGTTTACCAAATAAAAAAAAATATTATTTTATTAATGAAATAATTATTATATTTTTATTGTAATTATTTTATCATTATTTTCGTTCAGGACAATGTTTTAATGATTAATTTTAATTGATTTGATTTTTTGAGTTTCTGAAAAACTAAAGTAAATGTCCTTTTTTTCTATTTTAGTAGTAAATTGTTTAAATATTTTTTTGGTGATGCGTTTTTATTTATGTTTTTATTTTTTTATAATAAAAATTTACATACATGTTATAATTAGTAAAGCTTGGTTTAATATTGAAATTTATGTTTGTTGGTATGTATGCATGTCAATTGGATAATTGCTGAAAATAATTGTTTGCAAATATTATTTGAAGTTTATTAAATTGCTGTTTAAAAAAAAGAAACACTTGAAAATTATATATTTACATAAAATTTTATTAAATTAAAATTAAAAAATAATATATTTATTTATTTATATGTAAGTATAAATAATCACAAAACAATAATGAAACAATAACAAAAGTACATACACAAATATCTGAAAATATTAAATAATTTGATTTCATACACATGCTCACTGAAAAATAAATAATATAATAAATCTAATTGTTCCTAAACCAATTCCATTAAATGAAAAAAACAACAAAAAAAACAATGAGCAAATAAATTTAAACGTACAAATTGTACATAATTTAACAAATAATAGGAATACATAAATAAATTTCATTTTAATTTGTTTAACAAAAAAAAAGTAAAAGGATAAAGAGAAGTAAATAAAAATTCAATTTATAATTGTTTTATGGAAAAATGCTTCGTTATAAGAATTTAGTTTAAATTAAAAATTAAAATTACTAAAGTCATAAACTTAGTTGTTGTCGTACAATTTTGTTTCATTCTTATCTATAAATTACTAAAATGTCTACGAGTTCATTTTATTTTATTTGGTTTGGTTTATATATTTCATATTATTTATTTATACTTTTTCAATACTAATCGAATTGAACTGGTTGTTGTTTTGTATTGTATTTGTATTTGTATTATATAAACTGGCTAAAATTGTTTTTCGTTTCTCAATGTTATTGCTTTCGTTATTAAATATTTTCAAATTTGAATTCTTGATTTCAAAACGATATTTTTTAAGAGTAGTTTATTTTTTTATGTTGTTTCATCTATTTTTGTATCTTGTAATATTTAGTGTTAAAAAGAGGTACTAAAAATTAAGTTTTCTAATTTTTCTTAAATGTTTTATCAGAACTTTTAGCTAAATATAGTCTTGTCGTTTGAAAAAAATTAAATAAATAGTTTAAAATTCAAAAATTTGCAGCCGCATTATTGATTGGTTGATAAACAATTGTTGAGTTTTTGTTGAGAATTACATGTTTCCATTTGGTATTTGGTATTCGGTATGTAATAGGGCTTAATCTAAATGTTTATACATATCCTCCAGTTGGGGTTTAAAGTAACTTTTCAATTGTGGCCGTTTCGATTTGAAAGTCGGAGTCAATAAACCATTCTGTACCGAAAATGGATCAGGATGTAAATAAATGTCTTTGACCTGAAATAGACACAAACATGAAATTTCACATTTTCCATTCTTCTGATAAACAGAAACTAACCTGTTCAAATGATTTCAATCCGCTTTGTTTACCGTATTTTAACATGTCTGTCAGTATAAGGTTTTTAACCTCAGGATTATTGCACAAAACCGACAAGGTACCACGCACATTATTCTCCATGGCCCATTGTTTTAAAACATCGACATCTGGCACTACAACAGCCACTATGCAACTCTACAATGAGAAAAGATACACAAAATTACCACGAGTTATATTTCTAAATTCGAATTAGGGAAAATACCTTAAGACTTTCTCCGTATACAAAAACTTGATTGACATATTGACTCAAAGTGTAAATGTTTTCAATTTTTTCGGGTACAATGTATTCGCCCTGACTCAGTTTGAAGATATGCTTACGACGATCAATAATACGCAGGGTTCCATTCGGCAACCACATGCCTACGTCACCTGTATGATGCCAACCCTCAGTATCGATGGCCTCGGCAGTTCTTTCAGGATCTTTATAGTACCTATTTGTATTTAATTTACGTTATTACTAGTATTATTAAAAAAATCATAAAATATTTGTAAATTACAATATAATATTAACAAATTTGTTTTTTTTTTATTTCAGCGAAAATCTTCTAAATTGAATTCGTACTGGTAAGTCCATAAGAAATTTATTTGAACGATTTTTTATTATTAAACTGATACACGTAAGAAATCCAAAACATATTTATTGCACTAGCAAATTATTAACTTACCCATGGAATACGTTAGAACCTCGAACACAAACTTCACCAGTATTTTGATTTGCATAGTACTCCATTTCTGGCACATCTACTAACTAATAACAACATTTTCATAAGTAAAACCGAATTTGTTAAAAATATTTTAAAAAATATACCTTGACCGCGTTACAGGACACAGGTGGACCCACATGATTAGGTATATAGTCACCCTGTACTGTTAAAGTAATAGCTCCAGTACATTCAGTTTGACCATAGCCCTCCACAACTAAACAGCCCAAAGCACAGCGCATGAATGTTAAAACATTGCCAGCCAAGGGAGCAGAACCGACCACCATTAATCTTAAATTTCCACCGAAAGCTGAAAAAATACAATTTAAGTAAATTTTTTTTCTGAAACTTCGATAAATAAGTGTGTATAAAACTTACCTTGATGGACTTTTTTGAAGACCATTTTATCCCAACAACCATTGCGTCTTAGTATACCCCTCGATATTTCTTTCTCTTTGGCTTTTAAAGCCATATTGAACAAAGCTCTTTTAATGGACGAGGCAGCTATTTCATTTTGTATTTTATCGTAGACACGGTTTAATAGACGAGGCACGGCGGGCATTACTGTTGGCTTGAGCATTTTTAGATCATTTGTCAATTCTTTAACATCTCCCGAATAGAATCCTACACAGCCACCAACGTAGTACATGCCATTTTCACAACAACGCTCGAACATATGAGCCAAAGGCAGGAAAGAAATCATAACATCGCCCGCACGAATACGATGATCACCTAAATACAATAGAATAAGTAACAGTCCCCAAGTAGCAGTGTTATCTGGCTGCCAATATCTAGAACTTACCCAACTGTAAAATCACTGCGCATACACCTGCCACAACATTGCCATGGGTTAACATTACACCTTTAGGATTGCCTGTAGTGCCGGATGTGTAGCACACCGTGCACAAATCTTCTGTAGTGGGCGGCACTTCAACATGGTTGTTTTTGGCACCAAGTTTTTCAACGTCTATAAATGAAAATATCTGTATGCCACGACTGCGTGCCTTTTCCAATGTTGTTTGCCTGATTGGCTTTACAGCCACAATTATTTTCAAGGAGCGAGGAGCCTTATCCAGCAACATAATTGCTTTGGCATCGTCTTCTACAACCACGATCGACATTTCAGTCTGTCGTATAATAAAAGCACATGCATCTGGTCCTAGTGTGTCGTAGAGTGGCACCACCACTAGTGAGAAACAGTAACAGCCCTGTTCATATAAAATCCATTCCGGACGATTTTGTGAATAGATGCCAATTAACTGTTTGGGCCGTGCACCTAAAGCAAGCAGCCCCGAACCAAAATTTTTAGCACGTAATAAGGCTTCGTCGTAATTGATCCACTAAATGAAACAAAAATACATAATTACAACAATTACAAAAACCCTTATATAGTGATTAGACACTCACCTGATATGGTGATGATAAAGTCTCACGCCATCCTAGACAGGGTCCATTATTGGAGGCATAAGCACCTTCACGAAATGTGTGATATAATGTACGTACATTCTCTGTGATATATGACACGAATTTTCCATTCTTAGACTCTTTATAAAATTTTGAAACATGAATTTGTTCAGGACCCTGCAATTGAACAGTTTGCAAAAACAAAATGAAAAAAACGAAGGAAATAATGAGTGCAAAATATAAAATGATATGTGTAGGAAAAGGAGGACAAAGAGTACAAAATGCCAGTGAAGGAGAAATATCGTTGTAGGATTATAATTCTTGTTGGAAGGTAGTATTTCGAACACATTTCTCATTCATTTTCATTGACAATAAATCTTAGTTTAGTTACCAGATCAGACCAATAACATAAATTTTAGATCAAAAAACGATTGATTAACATTTAGCAGATGTGTGGTTTGCCAATTAAATATACCACTACTAGTTTAATGAAAAAATTTGTTTAAAAACTAAAACTATTAATTCTAAAATGCATTTAAATATTTCGCATTGAAATTACTTAAGTGGGTTTTTTTCTTGATTTATTTATATTATTGAACAAAAATGTGTAATAGCTTGCGATGTATCTCTGTTCAACACTTACTACTTAATATTATTAAGAATTTTTAAAAATACTACTTAAATCCATAAAAACAAAATATTAATTCGAATGTTTCTATGACGTAGAGAACAAATTGTATGGTATTGAAACATTTATTTCAATACTTTAACATTTCACAAGTGCTGATAGAAATTACGGGTGATCATCAAAGAATACTTTTTTTTAATTTTTCTTTAAATACTAAGTGATTTAAAAATAAATTCACTAAAAAATAGCGCTAAAAGAAATATATATTTTTTGGAATTCAACTACAAACATCGAAATGAAAGCGAATTCAACAGCCTGTCAATATTTCCTATATTATATGTATGATACATATGTTTATTTTTATTAAATCTAAATGATGTGTTTCAACACTCAACAAATTCATAATTTACACCATAACTATGATTATGTGAATAAAATGTACAAATATGTATATACAAATACGTAACAAGAAATGAATAGTATCGGTTTAAAATGCTAAGAAACAGTTATAGGTTTTATCCTACCCGACGATTTATATCTAGACGAGGATCATATTTTATCTAAAATAAAAAAAAAGAAGAAAAACAAAATGTTGCAAAGAAAACTTGTCTTAAATTTTTGCCAAACATTTTGCTACAACTACTTTTTACAAAATTTTGTATTTTTTTTTTTTGCAAACCCAATGAGAATTACAATTTTATGGTTATTTACCTTTAAAACATCACTTTGAGCACCCATTTCAATGGGTACACGTATTGTGGTTACTTGACCGCAGCAAGACATGTTCTATCTCTATATTATGATGGACTTTGTTGTTGTTTCAATAAAATATATTAATTTATATGAAAAACCTTGTGTTTTTTTACTTTAATCTTATTTTATATGGATGCTTTTCTTTCTATTATTTGGATTATTGTTATGTTATTCTTTATTATTTGACTTGTGTTTGTTTTTCAAATATTTCACTTTTTTAGTTATTATCTGCACATGTTGCTATTTTCTTGTTAGTTTAAAATAATTTAAATTTTTTATTATTTAATAAATAAATACTTGATTTTATTTTACCACTAGCCCACATTGTTTATACGAGTTATTAGATTTTATTGTATAATCCCGCCCGCAAAAATACTACCTGTTGTGTGAACTCATTGGGAGGTCAACAAAAAAAATCTTCTGATTTGAAGGAGAAATCAAATTTTGAATTGATATTTTTTATTAATGGTTAGGTGGGTTAGAAAATAGTTATATTATACTATTTTACTAAATTTATCTAACGACTTGAAAATAATTTGCAATTTTAAATATATAAATAACATTTTTATCTCTTCTCATTCTGTTGACGTCACAGAATTTTCTTTTAAATTTCACTTTTTATAATAAAAAAAACATTTGGTCCGAATCCATATTTTGTTTTTGTTGTTTCTAAGATATTCAAGGCTAAACAAATTAGTTAATAACATTCTGGGACGGGCCCCTTTATATTTGGTTGCAAAACAACAGCAACAAATTGTTATTTTTATTTATAGAACTAGTGGTTTTGAAAAGACCTTGCTAAAGTTCAAAAATTTATGTAAAAATAAAACATAATTAAATACATCTTTGTACCGAATATAAAAATATTTTTAAATATATATATATATACAATATGATGTCTGAAAAGTAATTTTTTAACATATGAAGTCATTCGTCATATGATTTAGGTATTTTCATATCCTAACAGCATAAGAATGTGTCACATATTTTAGATAAAAAGTTGAAATTTGTTTTTAATTTTATCTCATGAGCTCATTTAAAATCGATAATTATTGAAAATGTCTGAAATTTTATCTTGAAATTTTCCGCACAGTTTTACAAACGATATTCGTATAAAACTCTATATTATAACAAAATAATCTGGGTTTTTGTTAATTTTTTATTTAAAAACAATAACTACATTACGGAAACTCCTTCCAATTGGGGAGTACTGTATGGATTTTATTTATAATTGTAAAATATTGGTCTTTATTCAATGAAGCTAACACTAAGTACCATCGTAGCCCCTCCAAGTATGGGGACATCACCGTATAGCACTATAGAACTATTACACACAAAAATCTTGATTTTCTACCTCATATTTTGAATGTTTTGTTTTATGTAGGCTTATTTGGATCAGGATAGTTATTCCTCATTTGGTTTCTAAATACATATATATAAGTGTATATAGTCGCTGAAAAATATTGCTTAGGTGATGATAACCATCTCTATTTGTAAATATTTGAATTAAGTATTTTTCCTTTACCATACAACAGTTCACTTTATATTGGTTCCAAGCAACCTTAGATCTATTTAGAGCGGGTTTTTGAGATGGCAATCAAATGCCAATTAGTAATCAGATTAGTTAATCTAAAAATAAATTTAATCTTATGTTAATCCCCTTTGATGTTTTTGAGTACAAGATTAAACTTCGCAGTGTTGCCATACAAAACAACAGAAAACGTCACTGTTTGTTATCAAAACAACGCATATTTTATAAAAAGGAAGAAGACAACTGTAAATTTAATATGAAAATTAATGAAAACTTAAATTAAAAACAAAAAAATGTATTTTAAAGTGTCCATAATTTATACTAATCAATAAATACAACATTTTAATGTTTATATTTATAAAAATTGTATTAATTTTTTTGCATCAGCTGTTTGCACTTTTGCATTTCGTGCTTAAGTTTAAACCACCTCCATTGGGCGCTTAAACTTGCAAACAAAATTAACTAATTGAGTACTCAAAAACATCTTTCGAGGATTAATTTTAATTTAATCGCTAATCTTTCACCTAAAGATTGGCCTTAAAAGTTTAAAATTTAAACATAGTGTTCTTTCTAGTTCGTATTTGGACTTTAGAGAAGATAAATGAGGGGTTCAATAGTTTTCCTTGAATACAAGTCGCTCCCCTTGGGCAGTGAAAGATTTTGAAAGATCATTGAGTGCGTTTTTTTTTTTCTAATAATTCTGCGTGTCATTTCATCAATTACTATATTTTATATTATTTAATAATATTGATTAAACATCTCATAATTGTATTTCATTGATTTACACTTTCGTTTTAAAAATCTAAACTAATTTTTTATGTTAGAATTGCATCATTACTTCTCATTCACATTTTCACACAATGATGACTTAATTAATAATTAATTTAAAAAAATAATTTGAAAACCCCAACGAAATTAACTAGAATTCTAAAAATGCAAAATACTTTATTGACCTGTAAATTCTAATTAAAAATAATAAAATGCAACAACAAATGCATTAAACTTAATTTTAATATTTTTTTTTTTCTTGGTTTTAACATTGCTTTTTGTTTGCTCATTGAATTTATATTTAAACAGAAATTACAACAGTTTTAAAATTGTTATAAAAATAACCGAAACATAATTTAAAAATTATAATTAGACGGCCATATATCCAACACTTTATTTTAATTGTCGTTTCATTTTAAAAACTATATATAAATTTAAAATGTTCATAGATAAGAAAGAAAATTACATTTTAATTTTAATAGTTTAAAAAACAATAACCCAAATATTAAAAGAAATAATAGCATATATTCTCTAAAGATCGTTTGGGGTCCACTTTATACACAATCCGCAAACAAATAAAAATAAATTTTCAAATTCTTTTTTTTTTTAATAAAATATTAAAAACAAGCAAAAAAAATATATAGATTCGAAAATGTTCAAGTAACTGACTCATTATAAAATGTGTAGAGACAAAAAATATAACGACAGAATGAAGAAGAGAACAAATATTGTATGTTGAATTATTATTTAGTCTTGGTCTTGTATTTTTTGTGTTCGTTTTTATTTTATTTTTATTTATTTCATTTTACTTTTTTATTTAATGGCAAACAATTCAGATTTATTCATTCATATATCAAGTAGTATTAAAAATATTTTTCTTTTTTGTTTTGCATTTATTTTTGGTTAAAAAATAGATTTTCCTTAAAAAAAACAACTCAGTGTTCTAGACTCAATTCGAAATTGAAATGTTATTAAAATTTTTTCTATATGATTTCTCTATTTTTTATTTTTCTGAATTTAAATCAAAAGAAAATTTAAGAATTAATTACGTATACAATACAAATGCACTTTTTTTCTGTTAAAGAGCTGATTTACGTAATAAAAAAACTGTCACATTCAATTGATGTATGAATTTTTTTTTTTATTTAAGTATTATTTTTTTATAGTTTAGATAATATAATATTTTTATGGTTATTTTCAATATTTATATTAATATTATTTACATTATATGAATTTATTTATCTATATATATTTTTAAACGCAACGATTTTTTATTCTTCTTTTTTTGTGTTAAATTAAAAACTTGTTTCTTTTTTTTTTTTTTTGCACCTAAAATTATTTTATCCGTTTCTGATATTTTTTTATTATTCAAATTCGCAACACGCTAGACGTTCAAAATCGTACTGAGATAAAAAAATTCTTTAAAAAACCAAAAGATTACTGAACAACACAATATCTTATATTATAGAGAATAGAAAAGACTATAGAAAGAAAATTTTCTTAAATTTTGGGAGAGTACAATGTGTCTAAAAGATCACACCAACTTTTTCCTAACATAAAAGTTAAGGGTGAACCGAAAAATATACATTTTAATCGAAATTCTAATCTAATGTTTTTACTTACTGTTACAGAGGGAAATCGACACCAAATTTTTTAATAACATCCGTTGTCAAGTATATACATACGTACGACAACACTATGTAATGTTGACAACGCAACGTTGCCAACATTGCAACAATTCGTTGTCGCAATCTAAATTTTATACACATTCGTTGTGATAAGCTCACAATCCATTGTCAATAGTGAGCTTACCACGTGTGTTAACTTTTAGACAACGGATGTGTATAAAATTTATATTGCGACAACGAATTGTTGCATAGTGTTGTCGTACATATGTATGTATATAATTTGGTGTCAATTTGGTACCAGGCGTGTATACTTATTTTTCCCTCTGTGTATTAACTGGAATTAACAAATATTGCATTTAAATACAGGTTTAAGGATTTCAAATCTGTACTCCAGCAATCAATACAAAGATTTTATAATTTATTAATATAAAGATTTAAATTATCTATAAAAATAATTAGCGGTATACCCTTAAGATAAACATGCATGAATATCGAATGAAATCACTGGGGGAAATCCTTAAGTACAAGAAAAAAAAAGAGTTCGTTTATTTTGATTTCGTTAAGTAATTTGTGTATTATTTTAATATATTGCTTCACGAGATAGTTGATGGTTTGGGCACATGATTCTTTCCTTATGTCTTTCTATTGCTTTTAAAAAAGATTAATTAATTAATTAAGAAAAAAAAAACTGTCTTTTTTGTTAGAAAAGAGAAAGAGAGATTTTGTTTTATGTTGGCATTAGACGTCAGGAATGGTGAAGAATTCTGTAGGTAGGTCGCGTAAAATATGTAGCGTCTCAAGAACAACAAACCAAAATATTGAGTAGTTGTGGGGTATAAAAATAAATACCTTAAATAGTTGAGTGACTGGGAAATCTACCATCGCAGTATGTTTGCTTCAACCATCTATCTGTCTGTCTGTCTAGCTCTCGGACTGTCTGTCTGTGTGTGTGTGTGTGTGAAACAGAAATTTTCATTATGAAAAGATTTCAAATATGCCTTCTTAGCAATAGAAATCATCACAATTGGACATTTTACAACCAACCAAGCATTGCTTTTCATTCATAATTTTAAAATAAATATTTCATTTTTAGGAATTGTGACTATTTTGTATATATTTTGTTCATAAAATTGTAGAGTTATTTGTTTATAATTTTAGAAGGAAAAAAAGGAACAAAAAAAAACATTTTCAATCAATTCACTGTGAGTACACACATACATACCTATAAACATTAGCAAATACAAATGTAGGTGGCATACATTTGTTTAATTTATTTACAATTTCCCTGTCAATTACCACAGCGTTGGTATTTGCATATAGTTTTTCAATACTAAATTTAAATAATGTTAAACTAACTCAAAGTAAAACCGAAATTTTCCCATCATAATTTTGCTAAAAAAATATTTTATTGAACGTCCACAAAAAGTCAATTATGTATAAATTTTGATTACAATAATAATGTACGGATTATATCTATAATTGACCTCTAGTAGTAAACATACATTCATAGATATTTAATTAGAAGAAGATTTTGTAGCATTGACTCCCCTTAATATTCAACGTTGTTTATTTTAGCTTGCAACACAATTGAATAATATTTGTTTATATTTCTTCTCTTTCTTATATTGCATTATTTAATAAATAGAATTAAAAATATCTGAGGCGTGCCATGATGGATGCAAATATATATATTCTCATTAAATTGTTGTATGCAGACTTGCATGAATCTACTATTTATATTATAATAGACAGTTTTGGTCAGAGATCTGGTAGTTGTCTATATACATACATACAAACATACATGCACCCTGTTAAGATCAAGCCAAAAATTTTTGGTTAAAACGAACACAAATGTATATTTTTATGTTTTAAACTACAATGTTAGCAACATTTTTAATTACAATTGATGTATAAAAAGTTGCATTTTGTGTTATCTTTTAATCGATTAAGATTTTTTGATTCTCTAATGTAATTTATTGACAATAAATTTAATTTTCAGTACAAATGCACTAATACCAATATAGAGTGTAACGAATTTTTGTTGTTTTTGTCTTATTTATACAAAATAATTTTTGTTTACTTTAACAATTTCATTGCTAATTTTTTTCTTCATAAAGAAAAATTCAAAATCTAATAGATTTAAGGCCTTATTATAAATAAAATGCTGTTTATTAATAAAGGGATTAGTGTGAAAATGCGGTTTAACGCAAAGTACGGAATAAATCCATTGATTTTGCATCGAAAATTTAAGAATGGGAAATATTTTGGCATATTTTGTCTCTTTTGATTTTTTATGAGTATTTTGATAATATTTATGTATATGATTATATAATATACACACATACATACATATGTATGTATATATTATATGTTAACATGACAATTTATATCTTGTACTTACTTCTAATATTGGTGATTGATTCTCTAGAGGCACTAATGGTTTTTCCGGTATGGGACGTGAAGCAAAATAATATGCTGAAGCAGCCGCTATCCCCGTAAGGGTTAAAACTCCAGCTGTACCTCCAAAATAGTAAAGATATCCATCAATTTCATCAACTAGAACGGAATCATAAACCAATGAATTACAAATAATTGATGAATTTAAAATAGAAAAACAAAACAATTAAAATGTAATAAATATTTAAAATTATACATACAAATTATTGTTTACTAATTAGTGCATACAATATGTATGTATGTATGTATGTATTTGTGTACTTACATAAATATGAAATGTTGCTCATTATGAAGTGATTAACGTATGCCCAAATTGACTTTTCTGGCGACATGTGTATTGTTGATGTTGAGATTTTTAATTGACAACAAATACGCCCAAGGTACTTAAGTCTGTGATGTTTTCCTTTTTAATTAATTTGAAAATTATTTTCAACTGCCAGGCCAATTTCCAATATTGATTTTCGTGATACGTTTTAATATAAAAATTATGATATTTTTAGGTTTTTGTTTTTACTCCTGAGTGTGATGTGTGATGATTAAAATGAACGTTTTAAACGTTTCTTTGTTGTTTTTAATTGGTTATTATCTTTTTTTGTTTAACAAAAACAAATCTGAAAATAAATAATACCATATTAAAATAAAAGAATTAAAGACTTTTAACGATTTTCTTAAAAAAGCACCTATCACCTTTTGTTTGATTCAAGTGTTAAATTTCCCATTTATATTAATTTTGTCAAAATCTATTATTTTTGCATAAAATAATAAAAATCAAACCGACAACGTTCTAAGAATCTGAAGAAAATATCATATGATAAAGGAAATATCATACGTGGTTATTTAAATAAAACCACTGAATAATAATAAATTTATTATTAATACGAGTCGAATTATTAAACGTTGTTCTATATATAAAAGAAAACTTTCAAGATTTTTAATGCAAATTGCATTTATAATATTCCAAGTTATCTACTACATACTAGAGCACGTACATACATATGTACTATTTGTTTACTTACACATGTATACGAAATGTTACATATCATTCCATTTATGTGATCAATAAAAAATATCCGCTGAGAATTTTAACATGTGCTCCAAAGTGTTCATTGTCGATGAGTAAAACTACATTTAAATATATAGTTTTGTTCTATTTAAATTTTACATTTTTTAATATCTAATTTACATTCTATTACAATTATTGATCCCTTACGAGTTGTTAAATTGTGTCAATCAAACAATTTTACAACCCCCTCTTTAATATTGACCAAGAAACACAAACACGCAATCCCAACTACTTTCTGGTTGAATGGATTTTCTTTTCAACTTTTCATAATAGGTGGACTTTTTATATTGTAATATTATTTAAGAAAATCAGTTGTTACTTTCTCATATGATCGTGTAACTATAACAGCGCGAAGATACCTTTGTTTATACAAGTTTAATCACTGTTATATATACTTGTTTCTTCGATATATCGGTTTCAGCGCTGCTTAATCCTTCAGTATAGTATACTTTGGTCTCTGGGTTAAAAATTTGTTGCCCTGTGTTATATTTGAAATAATACTATATATAAAAATATTATACTTATCTTAAAAAACGCAAATAAACTTTGCCTGGCATATTTTAAAAACAAAACAAAAAAATGATGATTGCACTTTTGGTTCAAATATACTCTTAAAATAAAGCATCGACTAACAATCGGTCTAAAGTTCTAAAAATGATAAGAACTTCATAAAAAAAAAAACAAAACCTATTAAATACAGGGACAGACTGTAGCAATTAGTTTAAGATGATAAGAATTTTATAAAAATTACAAATTTATTGTATGAATTTTTAACTGAATTGCGTTCTAAGAGAATTTGATTTGTAATTCTTGAAGCAATATCGTGATTAGGGATGCCAATCCCGAAATCCCGATCCCGAAAATCCCGGGATTTTTCGGGATTGGCAAATCCCGAATCCCGGGATTTGGAAAATAAATCCCGGGATTTTTTCGGGATTAGAATATCCCGAAACCCGGGATTTTTCAAAATAAATCCCGGGATTTGTTTCAAAAACTGTTTTTATTTTCTTTTTTTGAGCCATAATTTTCATTAACTTGAAAATTACGATCTTATTTTATTTTCGACTCATGCAAAACTAAATTCCGCAGAGCTAATTTTATACATATTTAAACCTTTTATTTTTTAAAGTGGTATGATTCCATACACATAGCACATATAAATTTATTTATTCACTTCGTTTTTATACCCTACACCATTTTAGTGGGGAGGGTATATTGGGTTTGTGCTGATTTTTGTTATGCACAATAATATTAATCCTATACCCACCTTAAAGTATACCAATCGGCTCAGAATCATTTTCTGAGTCGATTAAGCTATGTCCGTCCGTCTGTCCGTCCGTCCGTGTAAACCTTGTAATCAAACTACAGCAATTTTGAAGATAATTCTATAAAATTTTGCATGATCTTCTATTGTACTAGAGACGGATCCTATTGAAAATGTGTAACATCGGTCCAATACTTGACCTAGCCCCCATACAACTGAACCCGCCGAATAGGGCTTTTAAGTTCATAATTATGTTTAATATACTCGTATCTCGACAAAAAGCTGCAAAGCCAAGTTCTATACTAGCCTTCATGACCCTGATGTATTTTTTGATGATACGGCCTCATTTGACCCTAGCTCCTATACAAAGCCCCCTTCGAAATATGACTTAAATGTACACAATTTTATTCAACAAAAAATAGCTAAAGTATATCTGACGCAAGGTACAATTCAACTTAGATGCTTTATTATGAACAATAAATCACATTTTATTTTATAACTGGTGTAGGGTATTGTATGGTAGGCTTCGCCCAACTATAACTTCTTACTTGTTAACACATCGAAATGTTGGTCGTAGACCGACCCAAAAAGTATACACATTCTGTGTCTGTAAGCTAAAAACACTAGTTAGAAGACTCATTCCATTTGTGATGCAAATTTGGACCAAAATTGACACAAGAAAACCTAATTGGACCTCCTCTGAAAATCACATTGATGCTGATATTAATATCATATATTAATTTCGGCACAGTCGAATACAAACTTTATTTTTCAATACTAGAGGATTTTACATTTCTAACTTTCTACAAATCTGAGTGATACCGGTAAAGGTAAATTACCTTGTTCTGAATGCACATAAAATTTTAAATTAATACTACGAATATAATAACATGTTCCAAAACTAACATGTATTTTGTGTAAAGTTCCAAATATTTTTCAAAGAATAGGTTCTAAATTGATGTACGGATAATTGAATTGGTATCTGTTATAATTATTAGTTCACATGGAACAGTATGAGGTTTTAAAAAGTGCTTATGTCTAATTTCGGAACTTGATATTTATTTAGGAAGTAAGTATGTATTTAAAAAGTTTCAGAAATTATGCAATTCTGAAAGTTTTTATTTAAAAATTGGAATTAATTGGATTGTTTTAATTGAAATATATCTTCTGTCTTCTAAATTTCCACAAAATTAAACAATTTTCTTTACAAATATGATGATTTAAAGATTTTCATATATAAAATAAATAAATTCATGTAATCCCGAAATCCCGTAAAATCCCGAAATCCCGAAAAATCCCGGGATCCCGAAAAATCCCGGGATCCCGAAATATCCCGGGATCCCGGGATTGCAATTTTCAAAATCCCGAATCCCGGGATTTGTAAAAGCCAGTCCCGTTTGGCATCCCTAATCGTGATTTATGAACTTTTTGCAATTGTACTTCTCAATATTGAGCATACCAGGCCTGTCACAGAATGTCATTCCAATGGAAAGTGGAAATATTTCCGTATTTTGCTTCTTCAGAAAAAGAAAATTGATATTCTTTCGTTATGAAACGGTATTCACTTTCACGTCGGCATCCTTGCTACGATTATTAACAGTCATATAATCGTTAAAGTGGATGATATATTAGCCCACATAATAGTTGACGATAATATGGCGGAATCAAACGAATATAATGTGGTCAATAATAAATACATATATAGCCAAAATTTCCACTTTTATTATTTGAACGACAAACTTAGCGAAATTGACTCTCTTAAGGTCCATGATTTGCGTGACATTTGTTCGAAAAAGTCGTTGTAAAGTTCCAACTGTCCCATATTTATCTTCCAGGAGTTATTATCGAACCTATCATTGAGCATGTCTTAAAGATGTGGCCAACTGGGTATCTTAAATGAGATAGTTCCATATAAGAATTTGGTTGTTTTGAAAAAAAAAAAATTAGTTTGTTTGAATAAAAAAACCAAAATACATCACTTGAAAGATGCACTCATATTGTAGTTAGTTACATAGAACATAAATATTTAGAATAAAATTTAACAGAAACAAATAAACATAATAAAAATGTTTATAGTACATACATACATATCTAAATATATACTTATGCATATATATAAAAATATGTACATATACCAAATTCCAATTTATATCAAGAGCATCCTTAAAAGAAATTGGGAGTTTATTCAAAAATCTAAATGAATTTCAGACATACATACATATTTGGAAACAATTTCCAGCCGAAACTTTTAAATAAAAAATAACGTTGATTTTGTAAATGACCCTAATAGGAAGTTAAAATATATATAAGTACAGATAAATATTTCGGGAATGGCCTTGAAATATTATATTTGATCGGTATGATTGAACACTTTTGTTCTTAATCGAATTCTTATCAGGATGATACCTTAAGTTTCCTCTTTTAACCTTGACTGCTCTTATATGAATTCCTTTGAGTGTGTATGAGTGTACAATATTTTGTCTGACAAATCCAACAAAAAGTTTCTTTTTTAAGGTTGTTTGTTTCTCTTGTTTTTCTTTTTGTCTTTGTTGTTGTTGTTGTTGTCTCTGTTTTCTTTCTTAACAAAATCGATTTTTTTTTTGTTTTTATAATGTATAAACGTATGTATTTACATATACAAATTTGTATAATTGTTTTTGTTGTTGTAGTTGCAGTAATTCATTAATATACAAAAAATATAGTTCATTCTTTAAAAATCTATGTATGTACATACATACATATGTATTCATATGTAGGTGTGTACATCACTTGATAAAAAAAAAGGATAATAAGCACAATAAGTATTTGTACCTATTAAAGGCTACTGAAGCTAAAATTAATTAAATATTTGTAATAAAAATACACATTGATTTTTGGGGGGTGTCATTCGTTCACTTACCGCTGCTAATCTTTTTTTTCAGTTTTTGTTGAATTTTCTGTTGCAGCTGCTTCTGTTTGGAAATGTGGGTTTTCTTTTATTTTACAAGTTTCCTTTTTTCTTTTACATCGATTTTCTTTTCCTACATTATCGTTTTTATTTTTTATTTATAATAATTCAAATATTATATTGATTTTTTTGGTTTTTATAGTTACCAAGGGAGCAGTTTGCCTTTAATATAGTTTTTCCTATTTAAATGTTATTTGCAGTTTACTTTATACATATGTATGTATGTACTTACATATGTAGTATAAATATTAATTTTTCTAATTTATTAGTTCAAGGATAAAAATATCCTAATTGTGTGTTTAAAAAAAAGTAAAATTAACAACACATACATACATGCATATGTATTACATTTATATGAATTTATGAATATTTTTATAAAATTTTAAATAACTCAAACACACAGGATTACTCGCACTTATTCACAACACACCTCTAATGAAAAAGAGAATTATTATTTTTTTATTCACTTAAAAATAAATCGCATGTGTGGTAAAAATTAGACGTTTTTTTTTCCTAATGCAAAAAAAAAGTAATCAGCACGTGAGTAAGAAGTTAGTTGGAGTCAAGTCTACAAAATTCATTACGGCCGAAAATGGCAGAAAATTGTAACAAACTAAAATATGAACAACTCAAGTGTGTATTTAGTACATAAATTTTAAATAATCATACGATACCGTATCCACAAACAAACTGACAGAAGAAATGACAGTCATACTATATACAGTACGTACGTATATGTGTGTATTTGTTCATGTGTATGAAGACACGAACGATTTAAGGCAGAAAAAGGACACCACAAAACTAAAAGTTGTGTTTTTTTTTCAGTGTATATTTTAAAATTTAAGTAGAAAAATACATAGTATTGAAAATGTTATTATTCTACTATATTTTGCAAAAATATTTCATATATAAAACTATAAAAATTATTTTTACGTAAACAAACAATTTTATTAACGAACATTTTACACAGTCACACAAAAACGGAAAAATCAATCACGGTCACAAGCAGATGCCAGCTTCGTACGTAACAAAATAAGAAGACTCCTTTAGAGGGGATGAATATTTTCATTTCAATTTTTTTAACCTACACCAAATTTAATTTACAACAAAACAGAACACATTAAATATAATTAAAAAAAATTACTAACAATTTTGGCTGCCTTAAGAAGAAACTCCAACCAAAATACTTAATAAAAACACATAAAAAACTGTTCGGAATGTATATACGCGTCGTCTGAGTTTAAACGACAAATTCAAACTGAGTGGAGTATACCGACCAGACGGGAAGAACTTTTTTGTTGAGTCAAGCCAAACAAACAGCGTATAGAGCACATGTTATGGAAGGTGGGTGCGCGTTGTTGTGTGCATGTTAAACAAAATAAGTGGATGGAAGTATATATAGGGGATGCCAGAAAAGGTGGTTGACTACAATAACAACAACGGACATGTGAATACCCAAAATTACCTATTTTCCCGCTCACTTGCAGGAATACTAAACACGTTAGCAAAATAATTTGTTTTTTTTAATAAAAAATATTCAGTTTAAATATATTTTTGTTCAAAATTTTGAAAGACCTATGCATATCGTTCAATTGCAACAAAATGACATAACTTAAAATCCGAGAGTTTATAGTTAAGTACCACAAGTTATATACATTTTATAATTGTTTAAAATTTAAATTATTTTAAGTGTGACATTAGTTTAGGAAAATTAGAAAAATAAATTGACAGGGATCTTTCCAAAGCAAATTACTAAAGTTTTTATCCCCGTCATCCGGTAACATTAAAAATAAATAACATGTGTTATAGGAAAGTTAAGTGCAATATCCATAAAGTTTTATTTTAAAACAAGGATGGAAAATGTACAATTTTATTTAAAAGCGAGGTACGTTTTTTGTTTTTTATTGCATTAACTGAAATCAGTTATTAACGCCGTTCTGTTTCCAAAAATTTCCGGTGGCTTTTGACATTGATAAAACAGTTTACATGTGAACTGTTTTATGAACTTCACAATATGAAAACATTATTGAAATTCCATGTTATTAAAGCGCAATTTTAGAATTTTTTGACATCATTTGACACATAGTTAAAAAATATTATAAATAGATATAGTAAGTTCCTAATAATAATTTATCCATCTCTGTTTTTCCTCTCTTTCTCTACCTTTAATTTGAAAAGACTAATAAGGAGAGAACTCATTAGTTCTACATACATATGTAGGTATATACCGGTAAAAATAATTTTTATGTTAATATGTAAAATAAATAAAAATAACAAGTACAATTAAAACTAAAATAAACAGGTTTTGAATGAAAAGCGTACATACTAACTAAAAAAAGAGACTAATCGAATAAAAATGCATGTATTCTTCAATGCTTATTTTTACAACCAACCACTTTTATTCATGTCACACACATACTGACCGAATGGGGTCCGTTTTTGTTTTATCCATTGCTAAAATATGTATCTTTGACATTGGAATATTTGACGTCATGAAGTTTTTGCCAAAAACTAGCGACACCGAAAAACAATTTTGACAACATGAAATAAAATATCGGCATCCACATTAAATATCACTTCAGTCTTAGATAAAAAACTTCTTCACAATTATATAAAACTATTAAGGATTCAGAATTCCCTTTTATTTTCAAAACACAAGTTCCATTAGCCAATATCGAACGAAGTTTTTTCATTTAATAAATGTTAATAATTACTCTTAATATAAAACTAAATTTGTGCAATATTTACTTACAAACCTTTTTTATATTGTATATTTTGTCTGATAAAATAAATATTAAAACAAACTCTGGAGTACGTTATTACACAAAACGTTAATTTTTAACTTGAATTCATTTATGTATTCCTTCATTATTTTTATTTAAATTTAACGAAGAATTTATTTACAAACCAAATGTCAAGATAAGTGTCATTTCTACTAAGCACATGGTTGCATTTTACTTAATACACTGAGAAAAAATATAAATATTATGTAAATTTTTTGATAAATAAATTTGTTTTTCCCATTACTCTTTGTTTTAGCTGTGTTAATTGAACAAAAGTATTGCTGTTTAAAAAGAAATTAAAAATTGATAATATGTGTTCTATTAATCTGAATTTATCAATCTCAAAAATATAATTTTTTAAAATTGTTGCCAAAGAAAACAAACATTTTTTTACATCTTTGCTACAACACATTTTTTATTTAAAACAAATACGAAAAACTACGTAAAATTAATTTCTATTAAAAAACTTTCAAACATGAATTGGCATAAAATCGTTAATTGAATGGTAATGCTTTTCAACTTTCTTGCTATTTGTAAAAACTTGATATTTTTTAAATAATTCAATTGAATTAAAAAACCGTGGTAATTAAATATAATAATTTCCCCACAAATTCCGCTAACGCAATTTATTATCCTAAAACTATGCTGTATATTTTTTATTTTACCTCACATGGATGATCATTTTAGTACAAACATACATTTATACTTTTTGAAATTCTCCTATTATTCCAATTAAAAAGATTGATACGATAAATTTTAAGTTTACATAAATCATGGAATTTTATTAAAATAACACACAAAATATTTAGAATCAACACTGTTATTAAGCCTTATCATTTCTAACCACAAATTTAACCGCAATTTATTTTAAATTAGACAAAGAAGAAGCTCAAAGAAATATGACTTTTTTTTTTCAAGCCATTTTTTGTTTTATTTTGTACGCGAACAAATAACAAATTAAAAAGTTTAAATTAAAGAATAGCAATTAGAAAACTGACAAAAGAACATAATGGCGACTTCAATTGCCATAAAAGAAGGATCTTCGTCTCCAATAGCAACGGAGCAATCAGTAAATGACAGCGATGTTAGTGAAGATAGTGAATCATGCTGTAAAACTGATGGCAACACAACACCCTTGAAAAGCACGGACAAATCTTATAAAAAGGTCAAGGATGAAAATAATCAGACAAATAGTTACGCTGAAAATAAAAACACTGCTGAAGGATTGATGGACATAGCTCTTCTATCAGCCAATGCCAATCAATTGAGATTTTTAATAACATACAACCATGACGCTTCCACCTATTACATTAGCATTACTTTAGTGGCACTGTCGCTGTTAATGCAAATATTAGTAGGAATAGCGTTAATATTTAAGGTAAATTAATCAGTGTGCTAAAAGCAATCTATAGTTGTGAAAACGTCAAAACGAATTTTTAGTAAAAACTCTAAAAGTGTTATTTATTTTGTTTTAGCGTCGATTTCGTAGATGCCGTAATAAACGTTATAATGAATTCATATTGGGTGGTGTCTTCATAATTACAGTGGTGAATATATTGCTGGCAGCTTTTACCACAACTGATGTTAAGTAAATGAATATTTTAAAATTTAAATACATTTTTGTTCTGCGTTAATATTCTCAATAAAATTGTTTTTCCATGATGAGAGATGTTAATTAAACTCGAAACTGATCTTAACATTTGTTTTGTCATCAAATGCTTAAAGTTTTCTCATTTAAGCTTTGTCGATTTAAGAAAAAATAAATAGAAGTCCAGTCTTGATAATAGTAAAACCTAGCTTTTTCAAAAGATCTAATTTTTCAATCTACAATTTCTCTTCCGATCATTTAATATTTCAAAAAAAAAAAAAATAATAAATCAAAAAGTTTATTAAAAGTACTATTTTTTAAATATAAATCTATTTTATGTAACTTTTAAACATTACAAAATATTTGTATATAAAATTAATAAAAACAAAAAATATTTGTATCATCCAAGCGAAAAATTATTAAATAAATATTTCACTGAATGACATTAAATAAATGCACTCTTGGTATCTGTTACGATGATGAAAATTTGCAACAATTGAAAAACAAATTGTTTGTTTTTTGTTGTTAGAACTAATTTCTAGTATTTACAGTTGTTATCACTGTCTGAACTTGTTAACACAGAAGTTTAAAGTTGTTAGTTGCTGTTGCTTAAGAGGAATAATCCTTCTTGATCAATTTGGCAATGGTGCTGAGTTGCATGTTGGTTGTACCTTCATAGATGGCACCAATCTTAACATCACGGTAGTATTTCTCTTGAGGGAAGTCACGAGTGAAACCAACACCACCCATCCAGTCAATGCACTTGATGGCAGCACGTTGAGCTACCTCAGAAGCATAGTATTTAGCCATGGCGGCCTCCTTAACGAATGGAATACCGTGTTCGACCATACGGGCAGCGTTGTAGGTTAACAAACGGGCAGCTTCGATTTCTGTAGCAACGGCAGCAATTTGATGTTGCATAGATTGGAAGTTGAAGATTTCAGAGCCGAATTGTTTACGTTCCAACAAGTAGGGCATTGTGTGGTCGAAAACACCTTGAGCCAAACCAATCATTTGAGAGGCAATACCAATGCGGCCTTCATTTAAGAATCCAGCGGCGTATTTGTAGCCGTGACCAAAGGTACCCAACAAGTTTTCTTCAGGAATGCGAACGTTGTCGAATGTAAGCATGCAAGTACCGGAAGCACGAATGCCCAATTTGTCTTCAGGTTTGTTGACAATGAAGCCGGGAGTGTCGCGTTCAACGAAGAAGGTGGTGATACCGCGGTAACCGTCTTCTGGCTTGGCATTGGCAAATACTACAAATACACCGGCCAAATCAGAGTTTGAGATCCACATCTTAGAACCATTGATGACATAATGGTCACCATCCTTTTTGGCAACAGTCTTCAAAGAGAAGGCATCGGAACCGGAACCGGGTTCAGTCAAAGCGAAACTGCCAGGCTAAAGAATAAAAATAATTGGTATAAATTTGTGTTTCGTACTCAATTTACTTATTTTCTCGCATACTCACATATTCTTGGGCCAATTTAGGCAAATATTTCTTTTTCTGTTCCTCATTGGCCACTTTGATGATCAAAGAGTTCACCAAAGTATTGTGAATATCAACCAAAGCAGCAACAGAAGGATCAACCTTTGAAAGTTCTTCAACTGTTAAGATGGTGGTCAAGAAATTGCAACCACTACCCCCCAATTCAGTATCGATTTCAATACCCATGAAACCGTTGTCGAACATGGCTTGAACTACAGATGGTTCAAATTTGTGTTGGTCGTCCATTTTCTTGACCAAAGGAGCAATTTGTTCCTGGGCCACTTTGGCAACTAAAAATTAAAAGACACATTTCAATAACATATGCTTATAACAAATAGATAGTATATTATAAAAAAATAAAAAATGATTTGGAAAAATTTTAATTATTAATT